TCTTCACGATGACGGGAGAAATCTTCCGGAATATCACGGTCCCGTGCGATCGCACACAGGAGGGAGCATATATCGGAGAGTTTCATTTATTTAATAATAGACTTATCCAAGGGGGCTGAGGACCTTGCAAAAGCCTACAGGCCTTACGCCGCGTGTGTTCCAGGGTTAATAAGTGCTTCTTGAGCAGTTTTCTCAACAGTGAACAGTGTGGCCTGGACAGTGGACTCCTGGCGATACGCAGCTCTGGGGGTTTGGAGTTCCATACCTCAGTGAGCGTGACCAGATGGGACAGTTTAAGACGCGCTAATCGTAGAATTTGAGTACCGTGAATATGAATAGTTTTCTGAAAAGAGGCGCGACTGAAGAGCGAGGAGGAAGGGCGAAGATTCGGACAACTTGAACAGATTCGAGAGAGGAGTTTGAGGTGGAGGCGTCCCAGCAGGAAATACAATACGATATGGAGCTTTTGATAAAAGCTCGAAAAACATAGAGTAGGTCCCTGCTTGGGAAACCTAGTCGGCGTATATAAGCAACAGAATGGGACCCTTCCTGGTGGCCTCCGGAAAGAGCTCGCAATTCAACCTCGAATTGTGCGAGGCGTTACTGTCAGCTGGTATACCTCTACGGAAACTCGACAACCATAAATTGAGGAAGTTTGTCCATATCGAAACAGATCTTCAGCGATCGCCGTCAGAACTTCACCTCCGATAACTTAAGAATGGTGCTTGTAATACAGTGCAATCAATGAAAAACACGCTGATTTGAATAAAATGAGGAGCATGCTCCGCTGCTCTATTTTGCCTACCGGCATTCATATTTGGATTTTTTTTAGCGCATGAGCGTACGCACTCTTCTCCTTGAGAGAGAGCAAATGTACCCAGGCCGAATCAAGGCCGAGTACCTGCTTATTCTTCCGGCAGCAGGGATCGAACCCACACCGCCTCCCGCGCGAGCGGCGTCGTTGCGGCTATGCACGTTTGCACGAGTCGTGACAAACGCGCTAACCACTCGACCACCCGTCGGTGCTTCGACTTGACAGACACAGTCTTCCATTCCTCGCCGCCTTTTCCATTCCTCCCCTTAAGGTCTTCGAGTGCTCCAGGGTTTTCGCGTAGACTTGTCGAGCATAAGTTTACAAGCGGGGTGCTCCGATAGACCTACCTTTTGAGGATTTGAGTCGATATCGCTCTCGCTGGTGTATCACACCAGGTAGAGCGACGACGACTAGAGATCAGGGGCAGGAATCCCGATAGCTTCCTCGTCCTTCAAAATGATAGGTCCGACATCGGATCCTCCAGGAGTCTGCAATATAAGCTTAGTTTCATATTCCCTGTAAGTTCTTCGAGAGCTTGAAAATTGGACTACCAAAATTCCGGGTTATCGCTAGACTCAGTCGATAACTCCTCAGGGAAGCCGAATTCGAAAATTTTCATGATGGCTAAAAGTGCTTAAAAAGGGCCAATTCACCCGATCTGGGGGTCAGCGGCTCGATCCGACGACTTTTTTTTCCTACGAAAATCGTCATCCCGAAATTCTCCTCGTGGAACGCGGAATACCGCTTGGGAGCGCTGATGTTGTGTTCAAGCGCGCGCTCCAGCCTCTCAGCATGCTTCCGAGCGATGGCGCTCTCGGATTTCCAACGGTCGGAATCCGCCGGCATCAGCCATTTTGAAAAGGGCAAAGCCGCGCGAGTCCTCTGTGCATCATTTCGCTGTCGAATTCGGGATCGCTGCAATCTGTGATACGCAACTGCCACAGCCGTGATCTCAGTGAATTCATTGTGTTCTCCGGACTCTCAAGTTGATATCTGCGAGATGGCTGAAGCCGGACCAAGCAGAAACCACATGTGGGAAGAGATGAAACGCCACGCGGTCCTCGCCAGTTTGGTGGAAGGTAAGACGCCCCAGGAGATCATCTCTTCCCACCGGTGGACCACACACCAGATCGGGTGGATTGGCCCTTTTCAAGCACTTTTAGCCATCATGAAAATTTTCGAATTCGGCTTCCCTGAGGAATATCGACTAAGTTTAGCGACAAACCGGAATTTTGGTAAATTTGTCCAATTTTCAAACCAAAGTTTACCCCTTCCGCGTTTCCCCCAGGAACATGGGACCTGAATTTTTTCCATGGCATACCTCCGCCAGGTTGTCCCGCGTCGAACGCAACCAGGTTGAGCCCGATCGACCAAGCGGTCGCTGAGAAAGAGGCGTTTTCGTGGAGCAACGAGAAGAAAGTGACCGATCATTTCCAAAACGCCCGCAACAGGTGATACTGGCCGATATCGTCCTCGCTAGGGACGGAATTGTGTCAGTCAGGGCGAGAGCTGTTGATTGGTGGGCTATTTCATATAGTTTCATCCGGCCGTTCAAAAGTTAGGGTCGGGACGAGCAGAGGGAAAAAAAGTCCCGACTAAAAATGACCACCCTGTATATGGCCCGTTTAATCGACGAGACGTCATTCCAATTTTTCCGTCGGTGCCCGCGAGGAAACCAACATGCACGAAACACCCCGGAAAACGCTCAATGTAGGGAGTAAAGCGGTAGCTATAGGTATATGGGGTAATAAGGAAGTCTCATCACAATAGTCATAGCCACCGACTACTTCTCTCGACATGCGGGTCCAGTCGAAAATTGCTGCATATATAAGGATCCTGAAATAATTGAAATTTGCATATATGCACGAAAATATGCCTTGCATTGAACGCACAGCAATCCTGATGACACACATAAACACAGATAAACTGGCGCAGTTTCGGGGAGCACTGATACCTCAGGATTCTGAATCATTGGCTTCCGAACTTTCTTCTTGCGGGACCCTTCTCAGTCTTCCCTTTCAACGTGGAACCCTGATACACCTTCTTCGACGATGAGTGGGAGCTCGTTCGCTTCTTCGATCGGACAGGGAAGAAATTTCACCCTTATGCGTATGCTGCAAGTCGAGGCTCGCGTCGAAAACTTTTGCTCGATCCTATTCGACCGAGGAGCGCATCCTTGTCTGTCAGATCAAATAGAGCTATCTCTCTGATATTCGAAGGGACAGATCAGATGTTCAGAGCTTCAAAACGATTTCCTGAGAGGAGCCGCGGAGTCCAGTACGGGTACTCTCACGGGCACTCTGGCAGAAAATGTGATAGAGGAAAAATGACGGTATGCCAAGTCTTGATCGATATTTGAAACCAAAATCGAGCGACGTAGCTTACGGAACCCACAAAGATCGCGGGAAGCCCCGAGAAATCGCCGATGGGACCCATTAGGAAATTGATCTAGATCAGCGGTTCCCAACCTGGGAGCCGCGGGACATTTCTGGGGGGAGCCGCGGACGAATTTCTAGTGTAGGTCCGGGCCGTCAGGGTTTGTCAATTCCAAGGGAAGGTTCCGGAACGGATCGACTTCATCTGCCACGGTCAAGTGTGTAAGAAATCATTCACCTCGCTGACGGTCGTCAAGACGAAATACCGTAAGAGACTCGATGTTCACTCAGCTTTGCGACTGGCAGAAAGTCATCTACCACCGCGTCTAGAAAAGCTCATGAGAGACAAACAGGAGCAACCATCTCACTGAAAGATCACTTCTGCGTCGGTACCGGGCTCTACGTCGAATCCTTGTTTCGTGCCCGGTCCTCGACGACTTGTGATGTTGGTAGCCGAGATCTTGAGGATTGTGGAAGGAAACCATAAGCAAATGAAATAAAATGAAATTGTCTTCTCAGTGAATATCTCGCTCTGATTTCTCATACTCGGAAGAGTCCGCTGCATCCGCCTCAGTTGCCGGAATTGAGCTGCGAATGGTCCTTTTAGGGGAAAAAGAAGGGAGAGTAGGTAGGAGCCGCGGGAGCCTCGTGGGCACTGGGTATCCTGGGAGCCGCCGGGGAATTCTGGGTCCGCTAGGGAGCCGCGGAGCCAAAAAGGTTGGGAACCGCTGATCTAGATCCTGAACATCCGAATCGAACGATCCCCGCGATGCTACTGATGCATGAGGATCCCACAGGAACGCTAGGAGATAACCTTAACTTTATTATCTTTTTGTTCGCTCGCGAGAAAACTTCGGGCAGAGACCTCCCGATGCGATTCTCTCTCCATCTGCAGACATGCGATTTCAGAGTATTAACATGAGCTCCGGTTTTACAATATAGATTACACCCATAATCGATGCCGTTTCATTGCCCAGGAGTCTATGCAGCTACGGTAATTTGGGGGTGAGGTATGCTCATCTCCGAGTGAGTCTTGGGAAAAGCTCATACCAAAAGCTCGACCGTCGAGACTCTCGTACGTCCTCCCGGGTCAGTGAATTGTTGGGTCATATTTCCACCTCAACTAATCGTTCCCAAACTTGATGACGGTGATGATGATGATTGATATGACTTCCAAGCTTGGCGATGCTCGAAGTGACTCGTTGGTGATGGAAGAGTTCCAGATTGTGCTCTGACTGCATGAGAGCAAAAGTCATCTCGGTAGAGTCCGTTCGAGCGCTCCGAAGTTTTCTAGCCGATTCGCAGGAGCCCAGCCCACCAACGGAAAATCTTTCATCCGTAACCCACTTCAATATGAATTCGTTGTCCTCCTGAGTTGAGTTGTGCGTCAGGGGGAGAAAGGGCAGCGCATGTCATCCTTTCCGCCTCCGAACGGTCGCAAGACAATCCGAAAGTATGAGTACATACGTACACAAACACACGGGCAATAATGAGCGATATCGGAGCCAGTCATCAACAGACTTTTGGAATCTGCTCCGATTCCTGACGGAGTCCTAAGGTAGACAACAAGACCGAATCATTCTGAGGCGAATACTGCCCGACCCCCTCTGATGTTATTCCGGGTGACGAGTGGCATCAGTATAACTAAGAGAATTATCGCAGCGGCGATCGTGTTTATGATTATTCCCTGCTGTGGGAACTCTCGGTAGTCCGGATTGGCGTTTTGTCCGCTGGAACAAGAGGAAAAACTGAGTTCCCCGAACAACTACGGAATGATTTCGAATTCGACTCGATCCCCAGAGATTGACTGTGATATTGTACCTTGATATTGATATCATGCTCAGGGGCGATTTCCGAGAGAACTCATCGAAATAGAACGTGTCTGAAAACTTACTTGAGTCGGGCTCGAGCGGCTTGCATCAAGCCAGTCACGGCTGTAGCCGACGCCATGGAAAATATCGCTAGACCGAAAGTTGCGTGGACAGGAATAAGGCATGCTCTGAATGACGACGTAGCTCCATCGCAGCACAGAAGCACCAGGAAGGAGAAGAATCCCACGAAGAACTGCGGCAACGCAGGCATAATTAGCGATAAACTCACCATGAGTCGCAAATGAAGGAATGTTCTATTAGCAGTGATCGGTTCGATCCGTGGTGGTCTAGCCCATATGCTGATCAAGTTATTTGCCTACCTGTAGTACGAACAGTGCGCAGGTTCCAAGAGCCAACCATGAGTGGAGCGAGTAGAAATGCATCGTCTTAGGGACCCTATCATTAGCTTCGAAAGCCATGTAGAATCCTACGGCGATGCTTCCCGCCGCGGCGACAAGCAAAAAAGCGTGTATCAGTTTGGCATAGATGCGTCGTACGCAGCCAAAAAGTCGGTAGGAGAGAATAGCCTGGAATGTCCAAGAATGCATCCGTCGGTCTCGTCCTCTACGCGGTCCCTTATCTGAGGTATCGATTCGCTGCATCGCGAGAAGCGCTCAAGAGCATATTGGGCTCTAGGGATGATATAATCTGCAGAGTTTAGGGGGAAGATATCGCCGGAATCGACATCGTCCCGTTCCCCGGCGCGTCCCAAGACGGGATTAATTTTTTTTTCAAATTTCACAGTGAAAAAAGTTCGCCAATTCGACTGTCGAATCGGCCGAATCAGAGCATATAATTCCGCGCTTTTGCTCCGCGTTTCGAGCCCCGCGATGGCGCGACCGGACATGGATCCTCGAATAAAACGTGGGACTCGCAATGCAGAGAGAGAGTTTCCTCCGTACATTGACAACTACAGTCCTACCTGTCCATTCAGGAATATGAAGCCACCGAGCATCAGGATGAAATGCAGGTTGAACTGTCTCTTAACGTCGTTTCTCCAGGCGACTCCTCCTTCGTGGTGGAAGACCCAGAAAAGCGTCAAAGAGAGAATCCCTACGAGAAGCAGCTGAAAACGAATGTTGAACCTATCGTCAGGTCGTATCGGAAATGAGCTACCCGGAATTATTGGCTATGTGCTCTGCGATCTCCGATACTGATCGCATCAGACGGAACTTACCTCAGCTATGAACGTGAGAAAGTTCAGGAAAGCCCTCGCGGCTGACCCCATGGGTTTATCGAGCATCATCATGCGTCCGTCAACCTCCTCGTTCGCGCGGGTAGAAGACTTCCTGCATGGAATGAAGGATAAGATCGTAATGCTAATTCTCATCTGATCGATGCGCCCGCATGCTCCGAGATGAGTATCAGCCTGACTCCTAACTTTTATAGCGGACGACAGATCGATCGACTCGCTCGGATCGCTTCCGGGAACCCAATCAGGAAGACAGTCTGCCTCATTTCTGAGCGTGTCCGTAGTATAGCAAGTCCTTTCGACGTCGGTCGTGCTTGTCTCTCTAGAACAGCTTTTTTGAGGTATCGCACCCAGCCCTACTCGACCCGAAAGTTATTTTCATGAAATCCTATGTTATCGGAAGCGACGAATCGAGAGATTGCAGACACATCACCGATGGGAGTTCGCCCACAATAGGAACGATACACGGGACGATGATCACAATAGCTGGCAGGTACCATAAGATAAGGCAAGGGCGCGTAAGTTTGATGTTTTTCCTCAACTGAGCTTCTACCCGAGACCTCAACAGCACTCGAGGTCCCACGAGGCCAAGACTTGTGTGTTTTGTCCGACCGCCTCGACTCGCTTAGAATGAGGGAATAAAGAGAACTTCGAGGAGAGAAGCTGTCTTCCGGGTAGGAGGCAACAGTGAGGGCGGGATTGTGTTCAACATGCACGTCGATGGCTCTTCGATCGGCCACGAAGCGACTAAACTCGCCTCTTTGTCATTCTGTGTTTCAAGTTCTCCGACACGCTCCCCTGTGCGGCTCCCCGCGAGGGGAACTGCGATGCATCCTTCTAAAGTTCTTACTCCAGGTCGCAATCGATAAATATGTTTGAGCCTAGTCGAGCATCATGAATCGCACCATATCCAGCGCCGACAAGCTCCGCTGGCGAAGTGTTCGCCGATGCGGGAAGCTTGCAAAATCGATAAAAGATTCGGCGAGCTTAAATGATCCATGACACTAAACCCCTACAATGAACATTGCACCAGAGAGATCACATACCAAGCTACATTAGCCGTCGAAAGTGTCCCGGGTTTGAGGCTTCGCGCCACATGGTCGCCAAGTTGACTGCACTGGAAGCAACACGCTCACAGTCAGACATGCTGACACTCATGGCTCCGGCTATGAGCGTGTAGAGTGAATGGCTTGCGAGCAAGCGGCCGACTGCCTTCGGCCATGGCGTGTTAGCCCGAGAAGACTCCCCTCATCCGCGAGTCCATCGATCCGCGGTAAAGCATCTGGGAGAGGTTCGGCTTCGATTCGGAGTTAGGTGGTCCTGGATTATCGTGCACGATCCTCAATACAGCCTCGATACGCGCCGACCAGCATGCTCGCCGGATCTAGACTGCTGATTCATTCACTTGTATTGTTGCTCGAGGGAGTGCATTCGATAGGATCATCGCCATTCATCCGATATATGCGTCCTTTGACTGAACTCAAATATATGCGTATTCAGGACTGAACTTATGTGAAACTGCGAGCTCAACCGTTTCTCTCACTCCTTGCGGTGAAACTCTCGCAGCTTCCAGGTCGGCTCCGTTGTTATTCCGAAGCCTCACACCCCGTAGAGATCGAGAACGCGCTTCCGTAAGGAACGCTCTCTCTCGCCGAACTCCTGGCCGTAAAGCGCTTGAGCCCCTCCGACCTGCAGGGACTCGGGACGAACCATGGAATGGAGGTCGCATAGCGACATCCATCTCGATCTTGTCGAAGATAGTCACCATCAACAACGGGGGATCGCTTGAACACCAATGAAGCTTTACGCCATCAAAGGCGGCAAGGTCATCGGTTTCGGAAAAAAATAAAAACCGTAATGCTCGGGGGTCGATCTTCTTCAGTGAACAAGGCTCCTCATGTTCCGCCGCCGCTCGCTCGCTCTTAGCGTCCCATCACGGAAACACGAAGCCAATGCTATAACGGAATCGACGTTTTGCCGTGTTGATTAGCGCTCTATTCTTCATCAAGGTTGCAATGAGTTGAAGGAGTCGTTTGGCGTCGACAATCCGCCTCGTCTGAGAAGCTGGTTCAATACGATTTTCTGATCTGCGTGTAATACTCCACTTTCCGCGGCGCGTTACGATGAACATTTTTGCTCGGCTCGCTTATCGACAAGAACTGAATCGACGATCTGGCGGAATTTTTCTATCTTTTCGCGAACAAGTCGATTCAGCTAGCAGCTAGTACGATTCGGAGTAATTTATTGAAGTCGTGCTTGAGCTCCGCGAACAAGTGGCCACCGAATCCGTGTATTTATTCATGATGAATTGCTCGTGGACTGGTTCCGAACATCCCGATGACTTTGAGGAGGGCACCCAGCTTGAATCGAGCATCCCGAGCAGCGGAAGCCCCATCGAAACTAACAGGTGTCAGCTCCGTACTCAACCACTCACGTTTGGTGAATCGGGAGAACGCTTTGAACACTTTCTGTTTCTTCTTTCTCACGGCAATGTTCACCTGGCTCGTGAATCCTCGTGCACTGTGTGCAGTAGGCGTCACTTTCACTCTGTCCGAAGGATCGCGGTCTTTCTTGCTGGCCTGAATCAGAACTCCTCGGTCTCGGACCATGAGCCTCTGGTTGACAAGTAGGGCTTCCGTCGTTCGCAGTATCGTCGGAGCCGATCACTGATGTCGCGGAATCCTTCGTAGAACGTCTTTCAAGCGAACTCGACTCACTGATCATCCTTATATCTTCAGGGTTCGTCGCGAATAGTATCATCCTGGACATGGTGCAACGCTTCACCCCTGGTCGTTGCGCTCCGCTGCGTCGAGGGGGAGTCCCTGAATAAGAGGGATGCCTCCAGCGTCCGGCCCGGGGCCGAATCCGAGTTCTGCTGCGGTTCTGGCCATCTTCTTGACTGGGGGGAATGGTATGACTGCTCCCAGGGTCAACAACTAAAGTGAGGGAGGTATTTTTTTGATCACATCCTCTCTCCCCGTAACAATTGGCGCGGCTGCCGATTCGAACATCGAATTATTATCAAACAATTGTCCGAATGCTCACTCAAGTTCCCCCGTGCATCGCTCGGCGCTGCTTTGCGTCTCACGTTATCGATGTTTCACAATGGTCCATTAGTCGGGAGCACGCGCATCGATAGCTTCCCTGCACGACTCCGGTGACCGGAAGGCGAGAGTCTTCTATCGGAAAAGCAACCTGTCGGACGTTATACCGCGTGAATTCACCAGCGCTTCTAAAATACACCACTGAATATCGCGTCGGAGATCGATCCCGAATCCATATCGTATCATTATCCTAAACGATTCTCTCGGTTCCCCTTTCCGCTCGAAGGCTGGCTCGGCGAAACTCCGGGCCGCCTTGATTGATCATCACAATTATCCAAATCAGAGGTTCGATTCGAGTGGACTGTTGTGAGACGCGCATACCGATGTGAATCACTTAAACACACCCACGAAAAGATAACATTTCGACTCCGGCAACGAGCCCGAGACAGGAAGAGCGCTCAGAGCGAGCTCCTTTCATATCGAAAAACCCCAGCACGCAGTCAGCGCATCACCGCGACTTCACGGACGGCGAGTTAGTTCCCGGGCGCGGCTTAGCACGAAATTCCTCATGATTTATCCCCGGACGAGTTCTTCAAGTGTAGCAGACACAAAACATCGTCGCGAATGCAACGGTGACTTACGGACAGCTCTTCGAACAGCCGAGCGTAACCCGCACATAGATCAGACTTTCTACACGCCTCGATGACTAGCTCCCGAATCTTGCATCGAGGGGACAGGAAGCCAGAGCTACGATGATCATAGTCAAAGAATGTCGGAACGAGAGACGCGATTCCTCAGATGGAGGAAGATTTTTGGTGACGAGCGACGGAGAGCGTACTCTCACATTCAGCGACAGTCACGGAGCACGATGCGAAGCGGGAGGAACGAGGTCTTGACGTGGATCTATGTAGGTCATAGATTTCGGTCCGGGAAAAAGCGTCGCGGAGAGGGTAGGTGACCATAGTTAGGTGCAAGACGCGAGCGAATCTTTTTCGGGGGATGCCAAATATTATGAAGCTAAACCTACCGCGACTCTACCTCGCGGTGGATAGGGGTAGAGTCTCACAGCTCCGAAACGCTCGCGTTTCTCTGATATGGATCGCCGTCGGAAGCGCAGAAAGGGGAGGCTCTCGAGAGTATCGCCGGGAAGCTTGTCCCGGAGCCCTTTCAACACTTTGGCTGCCGCGCAGAAATGGTAAATTATACCAATTTGTCAAGTTCGTGTGATAATTTTAGCATTTCAAAGCATAGCATAAACCAGCTCCGAATTCCCTCCCAATCGAAACATCTCGATGCTGACGTTCGCCATATTCAGACATAAGCTTGGACTTAGAAACGTCAAAGGAACAAGGCGATTCGATTCCATAGCGCGTCGACCTCGGGCAATGATCCTCGCACCAAATGGATCGAAACTGCGCATGTTTGTCCGATGACCAAAGGACTCGTCTCGGAAGCACTCGGGTTCTCTGACGGTCAATAGGCTGGGGTTCGGTCAGCTTCTCGGCAAATGAAGCGCTCGACTGTTTGCTCGAAAGGGAAAAGTCGAACACTCAGAAGGTTCCGATAGAGAGGTCGCCTTGGTGTTTTTCGCGGACGTCGACTGACAAGAGGGGGTGAGCCGGTTATCGTCGAAGGTGAATAATTCGGTTCGGATCCTACTCGTTTCGTAAGTTGCCGACGATTGGGAAAACGGGCGCGGGTCGAGAATTCGCGAGCTCGTATTCGAACCCCTTTCGAGGAAAAAACAGCGGGTGCAATCTTCTCATGATTGGATAGAGTCGAGCGGGAAGTGTTCGTCCTATCGAGCCACTAACGAACGGGCCTACCCCACAGAAACATTACATCGTCAGATTACTGATGGGCCGTCGTGTGTGAATGTGACGCCGAATGGATACTTGACAATGGGAACTGTCGTTTTTGTCGCGGTTTCTGGTTTCCTCGCGGACCACCTCGTTCGGACCTTGAGCTGTGTAATAGGTTCTGTGCGGGATTTTCACACGGAGCCGAACGATGGCCCAAGAAGTCGCTTCGCTCGTTCACGAACGGGAGTCCCTTATCGATTCCTTCTTACGTTTCAAGGAGTACCGGAACAGAGCTGAGAATTTCGCTCGAGGACAATTCGCTCGAGCCGCCCTGCTTTCCGTCTACGATTGCGCTGGTAGGGCGTATTCACAATTTTCTCCAATAAACATGGTAAAAGGAGGGAGAGTTCCGGAGGCGAGTCTGAAAAATTCATCTCGCGGATCACTTCTCTTTCCTGCATCCTTGGCAACGGAGACGGGAGATAGTGACGATATTCCTGTATTTGACGATATTTCAGCCGCATTCCCAGAGCTACCACGAGGGAAAAAAAATCCTGATGTGGGTCTTGTACGATCTCACCCAACGCATCGATAGGTCCTCGAAACAGCGCCCGAGGGCCGATCTCGGAGACAGGCAGTATCCGTCGGATTCCTCTGCCGCGAACAAACAGGAGTCGGAAAAGAAGTATTCCGACCACCCAGACATTTCTGGATTGGAGTGTCGCGCATTGCTCCCGCACAAAATGCAACACGAGGAACTTCGAAGGAAAATCTACAGAGTCGGAGCGCTCGAGTAGATTGGGAGCTCGACGAAGTTGTCGCGGGGAGCTGCGGCAAAGTCACTGCTGTCGTAATCCAGAACGTCCATGTTGCGCAGTGGCTGAGAAGAGCGCGACCATGAACAAACAGACAGTTCTTGTCGGTCGCTGGCAGAAATCATTGGCACAAAAACGCACGGTCTAGCTATTATTGCTTTTTGTCTTTCGGCAAAATCCACCATATTGCTTCATTCCGGCGCAGTCTGCTGGAATATCGGGTGTGCTCTGGGTCATTCCTCGATTGAGCTTCACTTCTCGCTTGATCTCGAAGATTGATTATCCGGAACCCTTCCTCCGAGAATCGGGCAAAAATCGTTTATGACTTCCGCAGTCAGGTGTAATTGATAGCTTGAATATTATTCCACTGAATGCAACGCGGGTGGCGAATTCTCGCTCGCTGGCAAACGAAAAGAGAGACCGAAGCGGTATTCCTCAGATGCTTGATGATTGAAGTCTGTATTGGTAGTTCTCTCACGAAGTTGAGACTCGTTCGGAGTGAAGCAGATTGGCTGAGCGAAGGAATCGTGTGCGTATTTCGATTCAAGATCGAGCTCCTGACCTCTTCGAGGAGAATTCTCCTTTTCGTTGACTTATTCGAATGCCTTCCGATTCGGAGAGTAAAATCGGAATACTCCATCGTATGAAATGAATTTCCGAGCACTAATTTCGCCTTCATGCCGACACATGCGGCTTCGCTTCAAGCCGAAACGGGAAAACCTGATTTGATGATGACCACGACGTCAGCTACAGCGTTGCGCTTGCTCGAGAAAGAGCGTCTAAGCCGAAGCGGCAACCGGAGCCCGGAAGTGTTCGCGAGCCTGCGCGGCCATCAGCCCGCCAGCGTCTCCCTGCCGCTTCGCCTGATGGCAGAGAACCGCACCCGTAAGGGAAACCCAAATCGTGCGAAAAACAAAGCACTGTGTTCAAGTGTCAGATTCCGAATGTCGGAAGTGATTCGACGTTCAAACAATCCGACAAACGAGCGAGAAATCCTCATTCTTCCCTTGCGAGAGCTCTCTCTGCGGTCGATGCTCGAGTTTGCAGCGAGTTGCGGAATCAGTCTATGTCGCATGTTACAATCCGTGAGCGCTTATCGATTCGGCGGCCGATGTTTGCTTTGTTTGTGCAGCGCGACATGCACAGAATATCCGTCCCAGTCGCGCCGGTCTGCTGTATCGTCTTCGCCTATTCACTTGCTCTTGTTTGAGCAGTCTGCCGAGGCCGCGCTTTCTACGCCGCTCCGTAGAATTCCTGAAGTGACCCCTGAGATGTCGAACGAACTCTCCAATCGACGGACTCCTTCGACTGATTGTCCCGACTGGCAGCGCTGATATCAATTTGCAGCTGAAACTTGCTCCATCGAGAACCCGATGAGTTGTGAAGGTGAACGCTGTCATCGTTTTCGGCTGCCGCGGCGCTCCCTTCCTGAGTGGATGCTCCCTCGAGCACTACCCTCACTTGATTTTTGCGTCGCACTTTGGTCATCGCCATCAATACTATAGATGTAGAGACTATCCTCAGATCCGTCCCGTTTTCGTTCTGAATAAATACATTTCCACTCATACATGGAGCGATATTTTCAAGGATAGAGAAAAACGATTTTCGGCCTCGGGCACTCACATGCGATGTGATCTAGAGGAACGTTTCTCCATTGCAGCATGTGAGCTCGATGCTCCGCTCTCCATCCCGGACACAGATCGGGTCTTGATCACCTTGAGCTGTGAGCCGTCTTGTTTGGGTCCCTCGGTCACGGTCGAGGAATTGACGACGACGACGAGATGTATGCCTTCGATACCCGTGAAGGTGGCGGAACACAATCACACTCACACAGAAGAATCCGTGGCGGCAATGATCTGTGGAAGTCTTGGAGTAGGAGCCAATTTTGGCGCGACCGAGAAGATTTCCCCAAAGCTGTTTGAGATCCAACCATTCGATGCGGACAACACCGCGCGAAGTGCGGCGAGGGGGATGCCAACGCGACGCTGGCAAGGGTCCCTGGGTAGTGGCGGATCGCTGCCACTTCGGATCGCAGCTGACTCGGTACCGGTATTCAGCTGAAGAACTTGAATACCGAATCAGCATGAACACATCATTCTCCCCTGCCTTGCGGATCTGTTGGACCTGTGACGACCGCGCGCGTCGATTCTGATGCTTGGCTAGACAGATATTCAGCGGACCAGGAGGCGGGAGAATTCGGATGTTTTATTAAGTTCCAGCGATCACGACGATGGAAATCTCTTCCCGCTTAAGGTCGGTCTGAACAAACCCCCGGCAAGCATCCCCTTGCTGCTCAGTGACCGGAGTCAGCCGAGACGATATCTCTCTGGCAGAAGGCAGCGGAAGCTAGGGAAATTTCGAATACGACACCATCAAGAACTCCTGGTTTAGATGAGTTGCCGCGTAGAATACTCGAGAGATTGGCTCTCGACTTAAGCACATATAACAACGTGACTGTCAACTGGGAAGAGCCAGTGTACAGAGCAGGGTTTCGATATTCCGGGGACCAATCACAGATGGAGGACGATCTTTTGTCAGAGGGGATCGCTGGATTCGGCATGAAGCGATGAATACTCGAACGGTCCGAACGATGACATGAAAGATAAAACTGGCCGGACTCCTAATCCACGCGAAGCGTTAATTGGTTGTCACGGCATCAGAGGCTTCCTCCTGCGCCACCTGCTTCCGAGTTGTTTCATGAGAATGAACACAATGGAGTGAAATGTTTCCGATCCGACATCGGAAGGTGAAAACAAGGGAAAGACAATCTTCCGACTGCGTCACGGATTGCCGACCCCTCGCGCGGGATCCTCGCATCTAGGAAAGCTATGGAGAGAAACTTTCCGGAGGGATCTACTGCCTCGCGATTCTGAACATGAGCCAATGGACGGACTCGCTGCGTGAGATCGTGATGTGATCTGGTCCAATGATACATATAGGGAGGACAGTCAGTTGCCTGTGACGGATCATGAAACAATGTTGGTCTGTATCTTTACCATCTGAAAGACCCACAGCGGTTTCGATGTAGCTAACTTTCGACTAAAGTTATGTAGCAAGAGGCAAGAGCTTGATTGGTTCCCGAAGTCTTCGATGACCTGCCTCCTCAGGGGATCGAGCGCGTATACCGCGTGAGCGTTGAGCTGAGTGGGTACTCAATCTTATTCCTGGGCATTTCAAGTCGGTCAAAGAGCGAAATCGCAGAGCGATTATTAGACATTCCACGGAGGTGCCCTTCATACGGGGGCTTATCTTCGAATCTTGAGTTTCGTGAAAATTCCGAAGACAGGACTGAATTCCATCAAGGAGCTTCGGAGCTCCACGCTCAGTTATCCGAGGGACCGCAGTCTGGTTTCCTGTGCTGGAGAGGAGATGATGCGGGGAGAAGAGCTTAACGAGGGCTAAGAGTTTCGCTCCATCTTCCGCTTTTCGACTTGCGTGACTCGATCAGTCCGCTGCGCCGCTGTTCTGCCTGCCACTCGCACGCCACCCCTCTGGAAGGGGTCGCCCACTTCGGATACGTCGTATGATTGAAACGTACCTGAGCGCGTGACACTCGACGAGCCGCACGGTCATCCTCGTATTCTTCAATTATGACAAACATCCCGATTCAGATCTCCAGGCGATCCTGTACCAGAGGTGTTCGATGCCCTGGAGTTCTCGGAGGTCCGGATGTGTATGATCGCACCGAGCAAGGGAATAGGGTCGAAGATGAGTCGACCCCATTATATGAGGTGGAATAGAGAGCAAACCTGAGATGGAGCGCCGGAATCTCTCCGGGCTCTATTCTTCCGAATTATAAGCCTTGAGGGATGCAAGTGAAACACTCAAATAACTATGTCCGCCTGAAGAAGATTTTAGATCATTGCGCAAGAGTGAGACGTGGATTCGCGAGGCGTACAGTACAACGACGCAAGGGGCCGAAATCCAGGAGCCCTAAGCCGGTACCCTGAACGTGGCGCTGCGAGGCTGCGGCCGGTACTGAGTGGTTGATTTTCTCAACCATAATCCGTTCAGCGGCTTTGCTGGTGTGCAACGGGAGCAGCTCAAGTTCATAAGTCACACGGAGTGAAAACCGAGACGTCTGGGAGGTATCGGCCTTCACTTCCTGACAGCTCACGATCTAGAGATTGGTGAGCCATTCGTGAGCTGGCATAGCTCCAGAGTGTCTCTGGGAGCCGCTTTGATGAAACATTCTCATCTCATGATGAGCGTGAGTTAGATGCCGCAAAACGCGTGAACTCCCCGTCAGCATCGCCAGAGATGAGTCACTTATCATTGTGAAGATGTAAATCACGTGCACCGAGTTCTGACTCCGATTTCAAGCGACAATTAATCCATTAGTACTCCCGTTTATGAAAAATCAACTTTTAACAATATACGGTTCAAGAATATCTTTCATGCTTAGACGGTCTTGTTGTTGAATATCTCGATCCAATAGCCATCGGGATCCTGGATGAAAGCGATAGTTTTCATCTTCCCATCAGTCAGTCTCTTGGCGAATTTGACTCCGAGTTTCTCGAATCGCTCGCAAGCTTTCACGACGTCAGGTACCATGATACCGATGTGGCCGAAACCTCGAGGCTCCGAGTTTCCTAGAGAAATGTCGAGAAGTCTGCTCTTCATTCGCTCATGTATAAAATGCTCCGGTGCAGCCGTCTACGTATCTGCCCTTGAAACTCTCACACGAAATTGATCCGTTCTTATACCATTGTGATAGCCCTTGAAGTCCGGGTCTGATTCAGTTCCCCAATTGTGGGTCAATTCCACCGTTGCTCTGCGGGAGAAAGTCCACTCGCGCCGTTCCTTCGCATCTTCTGGGATCTGAATTGACGGGCATGGCGATAGTCACGACTGGATTTCGCGGCAAAAAAGGTTCCCGAGAAGTCATCGTAGGCTTCCATATTTCCTGACATGAGGCTCAAACCTGATTCGGATCTTCGAATCCCATGAAATACAGCGTGAACTTCATGTCTGGGAAGTCGAGCTTCTGCAGCAAAGTCATACCTGCAGGGAGATTTGTGAAGGTCACAAAAAATGCCAAAGGAGGCGGATAAAACTCGATGAATCAGAGTTTTCGGATTCGAGTTTCATCGCGCTGTCCTTTGTAATGGTCACACTCGCCGAGAATTCTTGTATAGAAGTCCAGCGACGGCTTCGGGTCCTTTATCCGCATCATCGTCTGTTGCATGATGAAATCTTTGGTTTCAGCCGGAGGCGCGGTGCAAAGAGCTGCGGCCTCGGCATCAGTCAAACTTTTCGGTTTCATATCCATGGTAGATTCACGGGGCTTCTCAGAGCACAATCAGTCAGTCAGTCTCTCTCTGACGATCAGTGGTCTAGCCGGCGATTCCAATGCCCACATGGTCGCGCCTAGAAGCTTCCATAGAAGCCTCACCGGGCCTACAGGGATCATGCTTTTCGGAAAACAAATCGGGAGGCATGCTGACAGTTCTGTCCCAGCCCTTTTTCCGTCGTTTCACCTCCTCCGGCACAGACGCACAGTGTGGGCACTTGCAAGCCCGGCACGAGCTGGTGGGCCATGCGGCCGCTGAGTCCGCTCCGCTGCTTCCCCTCTCGGTCCGAACAGATGACTCCCCTAACTTCACTTTCCCTCGAGCGCCTGAACATGTGTCTCTTCGACGACATAGTTTCACGTAGAGAAATTTACAGTCGACCCGTCAGAGGTTTGACAGTGTTCTACAGTCTTCTTTTGGAGCGTCGAGAACCTACGAAGGCGGACCTCTCGACGGTTACCACGTGCATCTCTTAGACGTCCGCTTGGAAAATATCATCTTCGTCGTTGACACTTCCTTGACGCATTCGAGAGGAGCCAACAGTCGACATGCGATTCGGGGTCAGTGCTCCGGGGAAAGTGATACTGCACGGCGAGCATGCCGTGGTCTACGGAAAGGTGAGATCCTCTAACGCTGATTTCTAAATTCGAACGTTTCCTCTGTTCTTCCCCTCCGTCGGGAAAATCCTGCGCTCGAAGAAGTCTCTGACTGCGATAATGAATCCATTCAGGGCGCCGTCGCAGTCAGCATCGATCTAAGAACCGAGATACGCGTCGAGCCATGTGCCGACGTCGTCCTGCTGTTGACAAACTTGAAACATGAATTTCGATGGCCTCTCCAAAAATTCGATCAGCTGTCCGACATGTCACTCGGTGAGTACGACTCCCAAGCCATGCGTTTTCTTGGGCCGAATGTCATAGCCTCGTCCCGATGGTGTATGACAGGATAATGGCGCAATAAGTTCGAGTTGACATATTTCAGTCGACTCGGAAATCGCTCAGCCGACCGAACAAGTTCTCAAGAAACTACATGAAGCCTTCGATATCACCCCACAGAGCAAATGTTATGGAAGCATCATCACGTTCCTTTTCTTATATATCTCAATCTCGCGGAAAGCCAAGCAGTGAGTTGGAGCTGCCCCCTTTGTTCCCGAGGTGTGCGTATCAATGATCTCTATTTCTATATGTGCTTCGGAAAACCCCGATGAGTACGCTCAGGTGACCGTTTGGTTGCGCATGAGCACAAGAGTTCCGGAGAGTAGGTTCCTGGATCATCGGAGGAAATTCCCCTTCCTCGATGCTTGAGGAAATCATACAGTAATGATTTTTTCCTCGCTGCAGGGAATCGGTAGGCGCGAAAATCGTTGTATCGTCTGCGTTACCGATTGGCGGTGGCTTGGGATCGAGTGCTGCTTACTCGGTCGCTCTTGCGGCCGCGATCCTCAGACTATACGGAGCTGTCAAATCGACTCACGGTGTCCCGTCAGAAGAAGTGAGTATTGAGTCCGGGTTTCTCTCACCAGTCCTCCCGATGCTGACTTATTCTGGCCTCGAATCGACCTCTTACGTGCGAGACCTCACACAGCTTTCCGCGATCCACAGGACCTCTCTCTCATCAACAAATGGTCTTTCCAGTCGGAAACCATTCTTCATGGGAAACCGTCGGGGATTGACAACTCGGTTTGCACTTTCGGAGGAGCTCTGCTCTTCAGACTGGGAAAGATCCAGGAACTCACTTCGCGGTCCGTGCTCCCCGAGCCGAAACCCCTCCTCATATCAATAATTTCTTTTCAAAATGATACAATGAGAAGCATTCTCAGAGCCTTCGGCGTCTCATCCTCGTCTTCTGTCCGCAGGATACCGCTGTACAACATATTGTTGGTGAATACGAAAGTTCCCAGAGACACGAAGCAACTTGTAGCTTCAGTCAGGAGTCGGGCAGAGCGGCAACGAAAAATCTTCTGCGCCGTCCTGGACGCAGTCGACGAGGTTTCGTCTCAATGTTGGCTGAATCTCAGAGACTCGAATCTGACAAACGAGCAGCAATACCAAGCAGCGGCCGTGAGTATGAGACCCTTCAGAGTGGCGAGGCGATGACACTCAGCGGCGAACTGAGAGAAACCTTGCATTTCAGGAGCTGATCGCGATCAATCATCATCTCATGAACGCGATCGGAGCCGGTCATCCGCAGCTGGACAAAATGGTATCGCTGGCGAGCGCGGCGGGATTCTCTTCAAAACTGACGGGAGCAGGCGGTGGAGGTTGCGGATTCGTTCTGATCGAAATAATCGAATCAGCGGACGAGTCAAAGTCGACGAACGAACGAGTCGCCTCACTCAAAACTCAGCTGGAGGAAAATGGCATGCAATGTTGGCAGGTAGCCATGGGCTGTCCCGGTATCATGTACTCAGCGTGAGGAAATGACTCGTGCTCGATGAGTTCCGCTCACGGATTCATTTGATCGGAGCCGCGTCGGCTCCGTTGTTTATTTCTTGGAAAAGTATTTATGGCAAGTGCCCGTCGTCATACCAATATTGTGCGACGGATGTCTTTTCGAAGAGCCATCGGAGCCGCTGCACACTCTGTACTCGTATCGAGTCTTGATTCGAATAACTATAGAGTAAATACGAAGTCTTTCGCCTCGTTGACGACCGCATCGACGCTGCCTTTCTCATAGTTTACGAACCGACTATGATCTCTTTCAATAGTGGCATCATGCTCAAGCCCTCTCAAACTCTGAGGCGAATCCTCTCGTGGGATACAAATATGGTACGAGATTCGATGACAAAGGTGAATACGATCGTACCTGGGGCCCGAATTCTCATAAGCAAGCTATACTTACTGCATATGTATTTCATAGACCTAAGCATCCATGCCTCGGTGTCGATTGAGGCGGCCAGCTGGATTTCTGACCTTGAGGCTTCTGTCGTGCTATCCAATCGGTGATCGACTTCCTGGAATTATTCCGAGAATATCCGGACTCGCAAGCTCAGACGAGTGACATGGAGCCATCCGTGATTGTAAACCCTCCGTAGGGCTCTAGGCTCTCGGTAGTATTCCCACTCAAGAGGGATCCGAGATAATGCTCCCCAAGCTCAGACCTATGATCATGAATCATGATTCATGATTCAATTGTGTTCCTGAACTATATTGCGTGAGGAGATTCTTTCTCGGGTGAGACCGCGAGAGCCATGTCCGGACGTATCGGATCGGTCCTCATTCCGCAGACGGCCTGCTCCCTAAAGGCCGCAAATTGATTCCAGGACAGCAAGGAAACCGACGAGCCCCTCGAATCAGATCCGATGTCGGGGCACCCGAACGAACTAGCCGTCAGCTAGCCTTCCAGTCGTGAAATGACCCACCGTCAAGTGTTTCGAGTGCCATCGGATCCTATGGGTTTTGAAGGTCCTATACTTCAACGAATCTGCGGTCGATGCTCTGGGCATCGCGGCGAGGAATTGGGTGGCTGGGGGGAACTTGAGAGGGAACCATAGCTCCTGCCCGATGGATGATCACTGTAGGTCTTTTCAAGGGTCATTTGATGAGAGACGCACGTGGCCCAACTGGGAGATTGACTCTGCAGATATTTATTTGATTTATTCGACCACGACTGTGATCGCGCCAATATACCTCATCTGGTCCCTTGTGAGTGGGGAAGTCGCTCATTTTTTGCGATCTGAGGTGACAGACGCGATCGAATGATGAGATAATACGAAGCAAGAGGTATCATCACCTTGATCGATCATGTTAGTTTTTGGAAACCTCTTTGTACCGATGAAACGTCGTGTCGCTTATCAGGTTCAGAAGTTCGGAAGGAACTCAAACACAGAAAAAAAGAAGTCTGGTTACTCGATGGTCGGATTCCGCATTGAGTTTCGGGCAGAGGACGGTATCAAAACGGTGGACAGTCCATATGAGTAAAAGAGATCCCGTTAGATTCTATTCATATTTCGTCGTCAGATCCGGTTCGTATGCTCCCGCCTACCGGAAGAGATCCCAGTGAGCTCGAGTCACCAAAGCGATATCGAGGATCGAGTCATGCTGGGGTAAAGGCGCTTCGGAGTGATCCTACCGCAAGCGTGCCGTCTATCGAAGAATCGGAGCGTATACTGAAACTACTACCTAGATAGTCTCGAATGTCTCCCGTATCTGTCCATATCACAGCTGTGGAGAGACTTCTGCCACCTCGAGAGGAGAAGACGCGGGCAGCCTTCGCTGCGTAAGGGGAGCTACCGTCTGCTACTGCTAGCAGAAACTATGCAGGTCGGCACAGAATGATTTCTTCGATGCTCCTACCGGCGGCGACAATTCGAGCGTGCAGCCCTCATTCCTGTCCAGACGCGGTGGCGGTCAGGAGGCTCCGGAAACACTTGACGTCATCGAAGATATCGAGGTTTGCTCTTGGGTAGCTGAATCGATACTCTGGAACAAGATCGACGCGTCGCGCACCCGGGCCTCCCGCCCCGAAAATCTAACTTCCTAGCGCGAAATGCCTCCCGAGTTCACTGCTCCTGCCGACGACCGTATTATTGACGAGAGAGAGAGAGGGAGGAGGAGAGGGATAGTCAGCACAAAACGGCGACGACAGTGATTTTTGGAGACGCGGAGATTTAAATTCGGAATGATTCGATATACCGCCTGTGTCGTCCTAGAAAGCTCTCATGCAGTGAGACAGCGCTACTCTCGACGGTAAGAATATCTGAATGACCTCGCAAAAGATATTTTCCGCGTTCAATCCACCCTGCTATCGGGGAAGCCATGAACCGCCCGCAGCCGATGAGCTCCGTGCTCGGGAACTAGCGTTTCTCGGTGCTTGTTGTTCGCTCGTAGGCCGCGCGACCGAGTCGGGTGCTCGCTGCTGCCGTGATAGGAGGCAGTTCAAGCAGAGAGTTGTTAATGTTCTCTGCGGCGGCGGCTGCTTGTGTTGTTCTGGGTCTGTGTGTGTGTGAGAGCTGCTGCTAGGAAGAAGTTATGCTGGAGGCGGCTGCTGCTGTTCATCGTCGTCGTCGTAGCCACCACCAAGACCACCGCCGCTTACAGGCGGTACACACATCCAGCCCATAGACACACACACACAGGAAAACGAATCGCTCCGCGGGAGCCGACGGCCTGCCTTGTCTGTCGAGAAGAAGAAGCTGTTTGCTCTGAATGTTGTGGTTGCTGCTGCTGCTAGTGGTGGTGAGGAAGAAGTGATAGCAGCGAGTGAAGTTTTCACTCGGACTCGAAACGAGCCAAAACAAAACTTAAACCCGTCTAGGCCTCTGTGTTAAGTGCAGGAGTCGAACGTGCAATGCTGGCAACTCCTCTGGGTGATTGGCCGTTCAGTTCCCATTACTGCTGCTGCTGTCTCTAAGCTGACTGACTGACTGACTGACTGGCTGTTCGGTTGGTTGGTTGGTAGGTCGGTCGGTGGCTCGCTGCCTCGCTTGACGTGTGGTGTCGTTTCGGACACGGAGTTTATTGGCTGCCTCGCACCGCTTAATGCGTAGCAGAAGAGAAGTTTTCGCAAATTCGAGCGACAACGACGACGAGAGCAGTACCAACAACGAGAACCGTTCAATCCTCCATTAATATCTCGATGTGCAACTAAAGTATCAGAAGCAGCACCCGCTGGCTGGAAGAGAGTGGGAGCAGCGGAGTTGGAACGAACTGTGGATTATACAGTGAAAATCATCAAAACTTCGAAGTCAACAGGCAATCAGTGAACGAGTGAATGAACAAGTGATCAAGTGTCTACCTGCCTGCCTGCCCGCCTGCCTGACTGCCCCACCGATCGACCGACCGACCGGCCGGCCGGCCGACTGACTGACTGATTGACTAAGTGCCGTACTTCATTCGAGAACAAGGATAAATACCTACGGCGGCAGCAATCAAGGCGGCGGCGGTGGTGGTGGTGACGGTTATACTTACTAGAGCCTGAAGGATACATAAAGGATACAGAAGAGCAGCAATCCGAGCATAGATCATCACTCTTCAATAAGGTGCCGGGTGCCGAGGAAGCTCGACTTTCTCGGGGGAATGAATGCCTCAAGACGGGAAGAGGTTCTCGGTGCTGTCGGTGCTGTTGTCTAGGTAGGCCGTTCGCCGCAATCAGTGAGGCGGCAAGGCAACGGCCAGCTTGCCACTGCACGAAAAGTGGCAGTGGACGGCAGCAGCAGCACGAGGAGAATGGAATCCTCTGACACCTCCGTTGACCCGCTATTGGCCGCCCCCACTGCCACGCCATCCACCACGACGACGATAACGGCTACCACCACCACCAGCAACAACTTATCGCCGGCCGCGACGACAGGCGGCAAATCCTCCAGCCGGAACCACAACTACAACAACAACCATAACAGCCACAACAACAACAACAATAATACCAACAATAATCTCAATAATAGTTGTAGGGTGGGCATTGGGAACGCGACCACGAACGTCCACGGAGGAAATGGTGGTGGAGGTGGAGCATCGGGCGAGAAAATCGGAGGCAAACGTAAAGATCGCAAAGATGTAGCCTCTTCTATTTACGAACTACCCGACCGGAGTCTATATGACGAAGACGTCATCGATGGCTTTGCCATCTTATCTTTTCTAACTTATGAGGATTGCGAGGTAAGTCCTGGAAATGAGCGAGACTCTTGATACGAAGGATATCAGATAATTTTTTTTGATTCTGCCGGGGTTGTCGGTTATAACACTTCTGATTATCGATGGGTACACAATCGAGATATTTGTCTGTCTACAAGCTCCACGAGATAGCGCGATTCGCGCATCGTCGGCTGTCTCGATAAGCTCTGATCAACCGAGCGTCTACCGAATGAAGCTCGGACCTCGAGTTGGACTCCAAGTATCTTCCTGACCTACACCTTACGTATACGATTCGTCGGGAGCGGTCTTTCCGCGATTTTTGAGATTTTCCTCAAAGCCAAAAACCCGAACGACGTATCGCCCCTCCCGCATTCGCGGAGGCGGGGGCATACGTCGTTTTTCGTCCCCTCTTGAAGGAATGCGGCTCCTCCCATTCGAGTCATCAAATCTCTAATCTCTGTGTTTCTCCCATGGAGAGCTGTCGGCCGAAAGAATCGAAAAACCGCCGCATCAAGTCGCTTCTGTGCGACTAATCGTGCAGCTGCTGCTGATCGCATTCGGATGATACTCTCGTCCTCCCTCCGCAGTACTTGGAGTAATCAACATGGAGACATGATCTCTGCACCGACATGAGTCGGGTTCTACGACCGCCGAGCTTCGCGCACGGTTGCGTGGTTTCTGCGGTCGGCTCTCATCTCGGAGAGCGCCGTCCTTGGAAGCGGCTGCTCGGAGCGTATATTTTTCATTCATTTCAATCCCGTTCCGTATCATAGACGCGCTCTCAGGTGCATTTCCTGGCCCATGTGCGTAGACGGTCACGTTCAGAGCAGGTCCTCTGTCACTTGTGCATCAGAAACATGTGCCGGGCTCTACAGCTCCCGGCTTCTGAAGTATGACCGAACAAGTGAGATGCCGATGTTCATTGTCGTCGTCGCTGTTGCAGTCACCGGTCACGTGAACATCAGCCAGAACCTCTTCGTAGCGCAATGACAGCGTGTTACCGGAGAAGCCAGATATCACCACTGTTGTTGCCACGAAGCCGACCGACAACCATCCCGGCCTCCGTGAGCAGTACCACCTTGCTAGTATTTACGACGAATTGCTCTGGGACGTCGATGATGCCTACAAATATTAGCATTCGCGAAAATGGCATCTGTTTCCACCCCGGATACATAAATGACTGAAAGTAAAAAAAGGCGGTCGAGATGTTCTCGCCGTGGCTGCAAGAATCAAATGTACCCACGGTGCTCTTGAGGGGTAAAGCACATCAATCCGAGCGCTCGCGGAAGCTCGACCCAGCGGACACTTGACTCTGAACACTCCTCTCCAAGAGATGATGAATAGTAGCCCATCAGAGAAGTTCCTCGGCACATTTATTCCGCTCCGAAGCCTACCCCGGGTTTTCGGCCCTTCCTCACCGACGTGCGAGTATGCGGTCTCGGTCAAACTCCCTAAAAGGATGTACTATGACCTTCATCGGGATCGTTACAAAGCTGACTTCGATCCGGCTCTGATCAGGGTCTTCCCGGTTGCGCCGAACATAGGCTCGATGACGTTCTTTAGAATACTAGAAGATACGCTATTGTAGTTCATGCGTCGGAGAAGAACAGGCGATTGGACCGTCGATGGACCATTTTTACTTCACACATAACTTAACCTCGTGAGTCTGTCAGCTCCCTTCAAGTTCGGCTTGGTGACCATATTTGTGCGCGCGTCATTCACTACATCCTCTCGATGTCATTGTCAGAACTCCCCCAGATGTTCTAGTCGTGCTTATTACTCGAGTATTCCGGGCTCACGACAGCCAGCAATACATTGACGAGAAACCGAGGGAGCGGCAGCGGACTCCAGGAGAATCCGAGATCGATGAGAGCCGCAACCCTTGAGCGGACATACACGACTTTTGACGTTGGCCCTCGTGGAGATCTGATACTTCTTCTTGAGGAATCGTTTCCAGCTGACTGAGTCAGCTCATCTTTATCGTCTCCTGTAATTTGGGCGTCAGGTCCGTTAGTTTTCTGTGGATTGATTCATCACCCTACCTCGATTCTTTTTATTATCCGAAACCGAATTAGATATGCTCTCAGATTCCGCTTGAACGAAACTTACCGCCGGATTCGGACCGATTCCCGGCTGAGCTCTTCAGTCTCGTTTGTCTCGCAGAGTCTTCAATTGATACTCGTTGATTTTTCACCTTTTGGGAGTGAGCAGCGTTTTTTGTCGCGATGCTTGCCCTCATAGTCGTCAGTATTCGAGCGCGGAGCCAAATCAGAGCAGCGAGCACCCAGAGACACGAGAAGTTGAAGCCGATTCCAATGGCGGCACTGGTCAAGGGCCAGTAATACATCAAATATCTGGGAAGTTGAAATCGCTTAGCCTAAAGTCGTGGGTTCGAAGAGCGCGTCCGCGTGTGCTTGGAGTCACCTCCTGTACGAGCCGAATACATTTCTCCTCTCACGATCACGAACTCACCGTATTCCTCCGAAGTCTGCGAGAATCCGCAATTTGGCAGAGTAAATTTCTATGTCGGGCTTATGCACTTCAACTGCAGCGCCATGGGTGAATTTTGAAGAGGGCTCGACGTAACGGTCGAACATAATTAGACGCACCCATTGTTTTTCTCTTCCTTGTCCGAGTAACAACGAAGGAAGTGCAAGTAGCGTGTCGAGGATTCTGTCGGGTCGAGACATGAACTAATGCTCGATACTGCTAAGGGCGTTCGCCGGGGGAGACGGATTCGCTTTGCCTTTGCTTGATGGGAGATCGAGAAGAACTTACCTTAGAATTTTACTCCGGTAGACGAGTACTGTCGATCGATGCGCTTTTCTGAGCGTATCTCCATCGGCAGCCTTCATTTCAATTGAAGCCATGAACATTCCCATCCTCATGTTCGGTTCAGATTCGGGAAGTTCGAGAGCTAGTTCTATCTTGTACTCGGTCCCGGCTGTCAGTACTGGGTACGTCCCATCCGAGGGAAGCACAACGTTGGCGATCGGATGCTCGCACAGATCGTTCTGTTTGCACGGCCTCATTCTAAAACGCCGTCGCAGAAAGCACCAATATCATAACGTGCAAATCATTCGAATCAATCGGAACGAGTCTCCGAGCAAAGTCAAGGTGCGAGCTCCAGAGCGGAGTCAGGGTGCGAGCTCCGTGCATTGATTGATCGGCGCGCTTTAGGCGCACGGGAACGATTGATTTGATTCTGCATCGAGCAAGGTCAAGGTGCGAGTCGTAATTATAGCGATAACAAGCCATTGTGACTGCCGCTTGGCGAATAGACTGACGGACGGACAGACAGACGTACGAATGATTTAGCGATTGACGGACCGACGAGAGGATTTCTCAGGAGAGGAGAGCTTTAGAGAGACGAAACACACCCCGACTCGATGTCGGTCGTTATCAGTATCAGAGACGGATGACGCAGCCCATTTGTCTCTCGGCTAACGATCCGATAGTTTCGTAACGTGAACGACCCAACTCGCCCAGTCGGGGGGCGGTCTATAGCAACGTGTACGTTCACGGGACCAACGATAGATGGGGGCTATTGCTCCGTAAGAAACGACGTCAGTGCAACACGTACGCGTACTTGAAGTGGACGGAGCGCTCCAGTTGCACCGTAGGCACGAGGACTCGATACACCGAGGCATATCCAGCCAAACTGACGATCGAGAACAAGCAGAACAACGTCGTGAGCATCACCGAGTTGACTAGCAGGAAGCGAGCAGGTCCGGTGATGAGTCGCCGGAACCTCGTCAAGAAGAACATGACGATGCGGAACTGCGGAATTGGAAAACTCTTCGATTAGCTCCCTCGCAGTCTCCGCCACTATTTGCAAAGCGTTTTAGTTTATAGAAGTTGGTCGAGCCGCCTGTTGGGTTTGATTCGAGGAAAATCGAGACAGCGTCGGCCGTGAGAACAGGGCGGAAAACTCTCTCGCGCCGTTCGGTGTTGTCTTCATGACGTTCAGCAGCAGACGTTCTTGACGAACGCTGATTCTTTCCGGGAGATTCTCACCAGATATTTCCATGAGTGAGTTGCAAAACGTTGTCACGAGGCACGTGTCACAGCGACGATCGAATTCGGTCCGGTAAGAACGAAAGACAGCGGCTAACTAGACGCGAATCTCGCTCTCATCTGACACCGATACATTCTAGATTCGGAATTCGGAAGTGTCGTCCCGCTTCGCGTCAGACGCTTCGAATCTCTGCTCTCTTGCCGCAATCCATCGAAGAGCTGCTGTATTCCCCGCGAATTTTCTTCAGGGAACCACAATCGACTAACTTATCCTCAGTCAGAGCTTTCGGCGGTTCGCTTTCGCTCGTTGAACTTTTCACTTCAATCCTCGACAGTGAGCAGTGAGAGCGAACAGTGATGCCCAGTCACTCCATGGGGGGAACGCGGATTCGCCGACGCAATTTGAATTTTTACGTACCACAAAGAAAATCATGTTCACGCGAGAAACGTGACCGGTGGACGGTGTTTGCCGCCAGTCGTGAGGGAATACAGGAGATTCATTCGCTTGTCCCACCTTATCGCCGCTATCGGTGGACCAGTGCTCTACTGGGCTTTTGGAGAGTGCGATGAAAAGATACTAAGTTCGCGGCGGAGAGAGATATTTTGCCTCAGCTGCATTGGCAGAAGCAGACCTTGGAGATGACAATAACAGAGAGAGGGAGAGTGCGAGGAAGGAAGAAACGAGCGGCGGCCGCATTCGCTGACGGATGAACGACTGGGTGGCTGACCGCCACCGACACGCCGGCTTCGGAGCGATGGACCGAGCCTAATCCAGAAGGCTGATCAAACACGCGGACTCAGTCACCGTCTTCTGCTTCTGCTTTAATTTCGATCATTCCTTGATGTGAATCAGTCGATCAGAACTCCAGACAGTCAAAATTTGACCTTCATTAGGGCTCCAGTTGAAGCATCGAAAGAGGCTAAATTCGGATTGCTTGGGAGGATATGCTGGAAACGGAAATTTCATCACCGTAACTTCTCGACAAACGATTGTGCCCTGGCGCTCATGAGAACGCTCGAAAGCCGCATCGGGGCGGCTGGCCAACTCATCCAAATGATTAAGCAGCCCTAGGTTTAAGCTTTGTTTTCTTACCTTGCAGAAAGAAACGATACGGCATGAAAGATTCCGAAAGAGAGACGACATCGACGATTACTTGAAGTCGGAATCACCTATCATTTCTGAAAAAGCCAAAAAAGCTCGGAAGCCAAGGGCCTCGAAGGTCCCTCGAGCAGACCTTGCGGACGACAATGGAGGTTCACTGGAGAACATCAACGCGACGAATACGGTGTCGAGTACGCCAGCGGCGGTCAAGGAGGAAAACCCCAAATCCACAGAAACTTGCAATGTACAGGCGGCCAGCGCTACCGCGCCTGTGCCTGCTGTAACATCGGTGTTGAAACCCAATGTTCACCAACACAGTGCTCGAACAGAGGACGCAGCAATGCCCGCCATGCAAATGGTCCCGACAGTAAGTGTTATCAAAATGAATCTCACCCATGTTTCGTGTGGTATGTGTATCGACATACCCCCGAGAGAACCCTTCCGACGAATTGAGAGCTCAGATATTCCGTCCCGCTTTTCAGGATTCTCCAATGTCACTGATAGGATCGGAAGCTCCGAGCCTCTCACAACGTAAGTTCCCTCTGGAAGGGATTGGGGTGATGCTCCCCGGCATATGTGTAGCGCGTCTTCACTGCCCTCTGCTTGATCTGCTGACCGTCCCGGGTCGATTCTGTTCTGAGGGACTCCGAATCTCAGTCAAATAAATCCCTCTTGATATCTCCACCCTCATTTTCGCTTACGTACTCTCACCCCTTTGCAGGGACGCCGCTGTCTCCATCACCGTTGACGTCGCCGCCAGCCTGCAAGTCTACGGAAATGACCGCAGCTCCGCTGGCGGCTGTCAGTGGCCGCGATGTGCGACGAGCGTCACCTGTTCAGGGCGCTCTGGGTTCTGTGCTCGGTCAGAGAGGACCGTGGTCAGCGGCGACAGCTGCCTCACCAACTGCACATGCGGTCGCAGGTATGACAGAGAACGGATCTCCGGCGCCAAACAGTCCCTCAGCCGTCACCCTTCCTCCCGCTACGCACAGTCCAACTCCTACGAACGTCCTAACGAGCACTTGTCCCACAACCACATCGACCACAGTACCTATAGATACAAGATTATCAACGACCTTAACAACGACAATAACAACAGCTACAACGCCAACATCAATAGCCGCGACAAATATCACCGCTACATGCGACGTGCTGCCGCTCCCTACCGTTCCCTCCCCCATAAACGAGTTGCTCCCATCGGCGGCTAGTAGCTGTAGTAGCAACAGCAGTAACTGCAGCATAAGCAGTAATGCAACTGTTGTATCATCTGGCCCCACCGCAGAACGCTCCGGTACGCCATCGGGGTCTACGCTACACCGGAATGGCTTTCCTCCATCGCCACCGAGCCAGAAGCTCCCCGCCGTCTATCCCGAGTCCAGCTCACCTACCTCGATGCCAGCAATTGTGCACGGTACGGCCGGACCAAGCTCGCCGCCGGATGCCTCGGCGACGACGTCCCAGACCTCAAGTGTCACGTCAACGGCGACGACTTCGATTACCCATTCACCGGCGGCGGCGGTGGTGGCGGGTTCGACAGCGAGCTCGACTCCCTTGTCGACTTCGGCGTCACCGAATATCCCTCCTTCTCGTAATAGCGCTCAACCAGCTGGAGCACACCGACCACCATCAACTCAAGGACACGAGCTCCAACAGGTGAGGTGTTGCCGGCACGCGAACGGTTGGAAATTGTTGGAGAGAAACTCGTTGAAAATTTCAACATACACCCTCACAGATGGCCTCGTGGGGAGATTATTAAATCATTTCTGTGCTTCTATGACTTCAGAATCACGTGAACGCGAGTTTATCGAGTCTCTCGCAACTATCACAATCCTTGCAGCCAACGGGGAAGGCAGTGCCGGTATCCGGCCCCGTGTCCATGGATGCGCGCGGGTCTGTCCACTACCCGCCGTCTCAATATGTCGGAATGGTGGCGAACGCTATTCCCCCGATTCCCGCAAATCAGCTCGCGGTCTCGTCGAGCGGTGGTACAACGCACACAACAAATACTCTTACTAGTCTCGTTTTTCCCAAAACTTGGAGCAAGTGAGTATCCGTCCCAATCTTCCCTCATGGCCTCCGTTGTCCTCCCGATCGCGTTTCGCCTTCGATTCGCAACAGCTGGTGCTCCCGTTTCTTCGTATACTAAATTCATATATATAAAAAATTCACACGCGTTTTCCAGTTGCCCGTCTCCTGTTGCCGCCATCACGTCTACGACGACGAATCGACCAGGAGTTGTCGAATCAGCAACGAACCCAAGTCTAGCGGCGACATCGACAGCGACTTCAATGGCTACGGTGACGACGAGCAGCGCGTCGAAAACAGTGCCTCAGCAATTGAGCTATCCTCCAGGGGCGCATCCCTCTGCTCCGGCTTCCGGGCAGTATCCCAATGCGGGTGGACTCGGTTTGAATCCTTCGGGGGCAGCACAACCTGGCGGTCCTTTCCCCGACCAGTTGTTGCAGCCAAGTAAGCATTCAATACAACCAAGTAAGAAGTTTCGTCATTTTTCCCTCGGTCCCCCCGATTGCCGCCTCTCGCCGTCGCCGTTCACAGACTAAATGGTTCTCCGATTGCAGATGCGGATCTCCTACGGCGTGAACTAGATGCGCGTTTCATTGCAAGCCAGGATCGATCAATTGCGATACCGCCTCCACCTTATATGCGTGGAGATCATAGTCATCCGACGCAAACGCCTCTGCCGTCATCCTTCCTCCAACACCTGGTGCCTGGTCAACCACCACCGCCGTCGTTGTTCGATCCCAAATACGCAGCAAAACTGGATCCTGTGGCCGCGTTGAAATACCCCGGCTCGATACCGGGACTCCCACCGGGAGCGTCTCCTTATCCCCCTCACGTTGGTCCTCCAATCATCAATCATGCGAATACGCCAACGTCAAGTACACCTTTCACGTCGATCAACCCGACGTCGAGCACGAGCCTAGCTGCCAAGGTAGGAATAGAGCTGCTCGACACTCAACATACAGCATTCGTCTTTGTGCATAACTATCGATGGACAATCTTCGAAGATGAAACATGTCTGGTCGATTTTCAGATGCAGCCATTCCAGAAATCCAAATCAAACGTGAGTATCAATTATTAGTGTGTGACAAACCGACCGATCCGCCTAATGTGTACGGAAACGAGTCTGATTTCTCTGAGCGCGAAGCTGAACTTCCCGATTTCCGACAGAAAACCGGGAAATGGTGTGCCATGCACGTGCGGATCGCGTGGGAGATCTACAATCATCAGCAGAAGAACGGACAAGCCACTTCGCAGTTGTCGAACGCACCGTCTGTCGCTTCGAAAGGTTTCATCCAAGGACCACCACCCAACCAGGGTCGATTGTCCTCTTCGAGTGATCATACGCCCAAGCAGGAAGCCGTGACGAAAAATCGGCCAGGCTCCTCGACGAGTTCCGTGAGCCAATCGCCTAGCTCAACTCCCACGACGCGTGATCCCCCGGGAGTTTTCCCTAATCTCATGCCGCCCGGTGGTCACGGTAAGTATTCCTGCTCTTTTCCTGCATTAGTTGTTGAGAACGCTGAGACGACGTACATATGTGGTTCCGAAAAAGTCGGACTAAGTCTCCCCGCTTCCTCCAGGTCTGCCTCGACATCCATCGGGACCGCCAAACACTAGCCCCGCCGCCATATCCGGCGGTAATTCTGCCTACCCGCCGTACCCATTCTTGAGCAATTTGGCTCTACCTCCCGGACTGCCAACTTCAGTCAACCAGCGGACCTCGTCTGTCATCACATCATCGGCATCGATGAAACATCATGCGCAGTCGCAGCACGGGCATCCAGCATTGTCCCCCTCCCCGAAAGTGTCGCAAAGTTCTCCTTTCACGTCTACCTCGAGAGGTTTCCCTCCGGCTACACCTTTCCCGGGCGCACCCCCCTTCGGAGCAATGCCACCTCCGCCTCCTCATGGACTCGGTGCGTATTCACATCCGGGAACTCATCGTCTGCTCGCAGTATCCCTTTAAAACGATCATTCAGCACCGAGAGCCAGAAAAACTGCCGCGTTGACGGTAATGAATTTATTTGTCCTTCTAGGCTTTCCTGGTGCCCCCGGTAGCAGCTCAATGCTTCAGGGCAGAGAGGCACTCTCAATGGATCCATATCGACCTCAAATGGATCAATATCGATTGGGTCTCCGTCCCCTTGCCCCCTACGGCGCGCTCGGACACCATCCCTCGGCACCTGGTCTTGGACTGCCTCCCGGGATGGTTCAGGGCTGGGGTGGCTTGAAAGCCGAAGCAGAAAAAGAAGATCGGGAGCGGAAGGAAAAAGAACATTTGGAAAGGTTCGTTTTCTCGCCTCTCTACCCCTACCTCGAGCGAGTCCGATCAATAGGCTCGATCGGGGCGCCTCGCATCTCGAGTACGATCATGCTCATTATATTTTCCATTCGCAGTCAGAAGAAAGCTCACGAGGAGATCAAGCAGCGAGAACGAGATCGCGTATATCAGCTCCAAAGAGAGCAACATCAGCAACAGCAGCAGCAAATCCATCAGCAGATCCATCAGCAACAACAACAGCAGCAGCAGCAAATCCATCAGCAACAACAACAGCAGCAGCTTCATCATCAACAACAGCTCCATCAGCAACAGCAGCAGGCACAGCTGCAACAGCAACAACAGATACATCATCATCATCATCAACAGCAGATACATCAGCAGCAACAGCTGCATCAACAGCAGCAGCAACAACATCACCAACAGCAACAACAGCAGCAGCAGCAGCAATTGCATCAGCAACAGCAGCAGCAGCTGCATCAACAACAGCTACATCACCACCTGCAGCAACAACAACATATGATTCAGCAACACGTGCAGCAGCAGCAGCAGCAACAGCAACAACAACAACAACAGGCGCAGCAGCAGCAACCGCAGCATGTGTTGCACATGATGGATGGCATATTACGCAATGGTGACGCTCGGCATCTGCATAATCGCACCCCAATGAAGAACGGGCATCCAGAAAAAGCCGCAACAAGAGAGCGCGAGCCCCGTGTGAAGGAAGAACCCGAACAGCAGAGTAGCCACAAAGCATCAGCGAAACCCGCCGATGACCTGGCCATGCGTCTGAGCGCTGCTGCCTCAGGTTCAACCGGGGTCCTGATGGGCGCCCCGCATGCATTAGGTGTGTCGATGTGGCCCACGGCGCCCCCCATACCCGGTGATTATTACCGTGCGATGATGATGCTCGGTCATCCACCCGGCGGCGATAGACTGCGACCGGAAGACATTGAGAAGATCCAGGCTTACGAGAGGGAATTCGAGCGCAGTAAGCTGCTGTCTGGGATCGCTGGTCCGCCAAACCCGCCTTTCATGCCTCCGCCGGGTGGACATCCATTCCTGCCGGGATTGGGAACACCTCAAGGACTACCCGGTTTGCGCCATAAATTAGGTGTGGGCGGTCCAGGTCTGCCCGGAATGCCGATGGGTGTCGGACCCGGTGTGGGAGTCCCACCACCGCTGATTCCGAGCGCGCCTGGCGCGCCCCCTGGTCATATGCACAAACTCTCCTCGATGATGCCTGATAAACCAATGAGATGAGGACCGACTCACAATTCAGCCTGGACTGCGTCCGAAGTGAGAGACTGCGAATCGCGATCCGACGATGTTTGACGGCAGAAGGGACGGAAAAAGGGCGAGCAGGGGTCCCGGCGTCGTAGACAACGAGGCGATGCTGAGATACAGGTGTACGTGAGAGGTGAATGATTCTAGTGAAATCTACGCGTGATCCGCTTCGAGACCGGTCGAAGTCCTAGACCAGAAGTCGCTTCCCCCAGCGAATCGTTGATGGAGAGCAAATGACGTCTGGCCATGATAACAAGGCATGGTGGCTGAGCTCTATAGTCTGTGGTGACGGAGGTGGAATCGGCTCCTATTCCTCGGGAGAATTGAATAACCATCTGCAATACGGATGTTTTGTCTACCGATCGAAAAACGCAGCACTTCCTCTGATAACTCGAATTCGAAGCTCCATGCCTTTTCTTCTTTCTAGCCCGGGAGTTACTTGCGAGGTATTACGCGCTGCCTTAAAGGGCCTGTATTCGATACGCCTCCTTTGAACGGAAGCTTTCGTTGGGATCTTCTTGAAATTTCCTCTGATGTATCACAGGGGCCCACCCTTCCTGGTGACCTTCCTGTGGAGCTCTCGATGAACCAAGATTGTCCATCCGTCCACCACTGAATAATCAATATCGCAAGCGATGCGAATGACCTCACGGAGCTCAGAGACTCGTGTGCCTTTTTTGTGGCCATACGGCGCTCGCCCACCTGGATTGGTAGAGCAATATCCATCAGAGTGCTCCGGCTAATCAACATGAATGGGAGGACGATCATCATTCTTATGAGAGCGATACGACGATGGGGGGCAAGATCCAATATATGGATCATTGGTCCATGTGTATATGAAGTATATCTATTGGATGATCAGGCCACAGAGGGCCATGTAGACGCCTCTGAACAGAAGCGTGGTGAAGCTTGATTTCAACTCAATAATGAATGTAACTTTAGCCTAATTACGAAAATAACTATCGACGGGACGTGATCGACGAGGCGTCCGGTGGCCTGAGTGTATTGTGGAATGTGGGAATCGGGTGTAGATAGGTGCGAATTACCGTATTGTGATATTGGTACGTGTGGTCTAGTGAATCTTTCTGCAGGAGAAGAGACTTTATCGATCAGCCTTAACTGAACAAGCAAACGAATCGAACGAAAAAATGGATGAATAAATGTATTGATGAATGAACAGATTGATGGTCGACTCGGAAAGGGGGAATCTGTTTCGAGGAATTCGAGCTGCTAAATTCATCGAGAACCTGAATGGCGGAGCCGGAGGGCTCACCCGGAATTATCGCTCGTTGTCTTATGACAGCTGAAATTTGCCCATACCGAAATCGCTTCGCCAATCATCCTTATTTGATCGATTAGGCGATATATCGATCAATCGAATCAGAATCATCCTGCAGATTTCTATGAGTAAAACTCGGCTGTCCAAGAGAGCTCGATACAAACGATACCTTCTCCGAGATGTCGATCGAATGTATAAAGTGTATGAAAATGTTTCGGTGAATATTATGAATTATGACTGGCAATCTGAACTGACACAGCGGCTGGAGTCACGATAACTACAACAACTTTTATAACAACATTCTTAGTGGAATTATTTTTTTCAACGTATTTTTTTCATCTATGGAAGCTCTGTCAGTCGAGGTGGATTTTTTCTCTCAATGGAATTGACGCGCGCTCCGCCGTATAGAGATGTACAGTATATACACTATCTTAACTATCTTATTATTACATTACTAAGGAGTCAGAAGGGATCGAGAATAAAATTGGAGGATTTGCGCCTCCGCGGCGCGGTTATTGTTAAACGAAGAGGAATTACCCTTGTCGTCTTCTTGATATGCAGGAACCTTCTGCGCCGTCTATGGGACTTCCCGGGAATCAGAAAGCTATCGCTGTCAGTCCACATGATGCAGGTCGCTGAACACATCTTTCGGCTCGTCGCGTCCGTACGATGGAAGTTTCGTAGGATATTTTCGGGAGCCAACGAAAAGATGGCATCGACATTCTGGATTCTGTGACTGTACGGGTGACTTTTCAGAACAGCGGCTATTTCTCTTGCGCTCCCGGAACCACATTTCCGTTTCTTTGCTGCTCTCGTCAGGCCACGGGCACCAATTTCCGCTTTGGGAATAACTGAAGAGAGTGTCGCGGGAAGGGCCGCGGAGTTTCTCCCCAACGACGGGACGCTGGAAGAACATGGTGGCCATTTGTCGTATTTTTCAGGTTTCCTCGAACGCTCCGCGAGAAATCGCCGGCACGAAGGTGTGGAGGTAGCTGTGATGAGGAACATTCTATGGTTTCCTCGATGCTTTCCAATCCGTTTTGAGCCTGTGCTATCTCAAGGTAACAGCGACGAGAGAGGACGAGTGCGGGCCCTGGTCCCATTTCAATGGAAAATTCCTTCCCGTTACCGTGTAAATCACCGAGACGGGTAGGTAAGTTTTATACTTCAACGGGTCTCTAGTTGAGCTGAGTCGAATCGGAGAGGACGACTCCTGGCATGAGTCGATCCGGGGTAGTCGAAAATAACTTTATTCGAGTTTCTACTCACGGAATTTGTCGCGGCTTGTGCGAGTTCTGAGCGAAAACAAAAGTAACGCCGAAGTGCCAAATTTTCTTCAAAGCCATATCTACCGTGAAATGATTTTTTGACGAATGATGGTGCCAGAGCGATAAATCAGACGAGACATCAGCGTCGTCGGGAGGCGGTCGCACTTGGATATTATTTACGCATCGCGAGCATTTAATTTGGCTATGTGTACTGGAGTGGAGCTCGTGTTCATCGAGTCTGAACAAGTCTCGGAGATCCGCCGTAGAGAAGTGTCGCTCCGCTTGTGCGCTCGAATCGACGACCACCGACGAGAGTATTGTTTTGTGAGTTTGTCGCTGGAAGATTTTCTCTTCTATCGAACCTGGAAGGATGTCATCGATTTCAGAGGATCGAACTTCGCCGCTGCGGAATCCTGAAGAACCCTACCGATCTGACAATTAGTAACGTATGGCATCTCATGGAAAACTCGCCTGTCGAGATGAGTCGGTACACGTAGCATGGCTTGCGCTGACCGTCTCTCCACACTCTGGCCATCGCTTGCTGATCGCTTGCCGGATTCCAATCCGGATCGAACATGACGAGTCTGTTGGCCCCTATGATGTTCAGACCGCAGCCACCCGCCTTGCTGCTCAATAGAAACACCTACGGAAGGTCAGCGAGTTAGACACTGATTGATTTGTTGATTTACTGGTTGAATGCCCACTCTCCCTCTTCCATTCTCTAGCTGACCTCTCGACCCCTTTCCCCACCGGAGGCCAACGCTTGCGAGGAAAAGGGCATTTCAATTTTCACCACACTTGCCATTTCGGAGGAGTTTACGTCGTTGAATTGGGTCACGAGTTTGTCCCTCTTCTTCGAAGACATTGTTCCATCTAATCGGAAGTATCCATAACCGCGCATCCTGCACAGCTGCTCGAAGAGCTCCATCGTTTGTGTATAGTTCGACACTAAGACGACCTGTGGAATTTTGTCCTTAAGGGGTATCACCGGATCCTGCAGACTACGCGGGTACATATGCATCTATCTATTCTGGTGAAAGAAAGCCAAGACGCAGGATTTCGCCGGAGCGGATTTACCTTGTCGTTCGAGGTCGCTTTGATGGCGGCGAGGAGACCGTCCAGAATGTGAAACTTTCCCGACTGGGATGGATCAAACTTCTCGGAGGCAGCTCTCGATTCCTCCGCGAGCGACGGGTGGTTGCAAATTTTCTTCAGAGTCGTTATGGCCGCCAAGGCAGTACAATCTTTCTGATCGTACGACTTACTGAAGTCTTTGTAAGCCTTCTTCTGTGCGTCGGTGAGATTACAACAAACGACGAGTTCGTGTTTGATGGGCAAATACTGTGATAGGAGAGCGTTCGTTCGCCGTATCAGGCAACGATTCACGATTCCGACTAACTCGTCGAGCTTTTCCTGTCCCTTGGATCTCTGATCCGCTGTCGAATCGGCTTCACGGGATCGCAGAATGGGATTCTCGAACTTTTTCCGGAACTCGGCGCCCGTGCCGAGTATCCCGTTATTCACAAAATGCACGAGCGAGAAGTACTCCAGCAGATCATTCTGAATTGGCGTTCCCGAAAGCAAGAGACGTCTGGGAGTCTTGAGTTCGTTCAGCGATCGGTACGTCTGATTATCCGAGTTCTTGAGTCGATGGCCTTCGTCACATACGATCAGCCCAACGCTTGAGGAGTCGCGGAGAGCAGCGATGTGTAAGCGAAGTGTCTCGTAACTGAGGATCAGGATGGGAACGCATCGATTGCTCAAAAAACCGGCAATATCATCATCTACTGATTTTCCTGATCCGCCTTCGAGAGTCACGTAACGAGCCCGATCCCCCAACCATTTCTTCAACTCGTTCGCCCAATTCTTCACTAGACTAGATGGAGTGACGATAAGCGCTTTACTCACAGTCGGTTTCCCGTACGTCGGCCCCTGCCTAACGAGTGACCAGATAACGGTTATGGTTTGTAGGGTTTTCCCCAATCCCATTTCGTCCGCCATTATGCAGCCGTAGCTACCTTCGATTTGAGCTCCGGTCAAGCAATCATACATGAACTTCACTCCTTCTCTTTGATGCGGTCTGAGTACACGTGTAAGGTTCGGATCTACGACCACATGCACAATCTCCTTCGGTTGACCAGGCTTCGGCGAAAACAGCACTAATGCGTTCTCTTCGAATGGATCGTGTAAGGGTCGCGGTCCCACCGGTTTTCGACGCCCCAAGGTTTTCGTCGACGCCGAAGTGACGAAGTTTTTCAGGGGCACTCTGAAAGGCCTCGCGAGGAGATCACGGATGAATTTCTCATGATCTGAAACAGGATTCTCCGCCTCATTCTCCTGTTCGGCTTCCCGACTCGAGGTTCGACGCTTTTTTGCATCGGGGGTTGAAGTCGACCGCCGACTGGGTGCTAGGGAGCGCCGCATGATTCGCGATCTGTCACTACGATTCTTGTCTAGTGGAGGCAATTTCCTAGAATTGCTGAGCCACCATCAGAAGCCTCGGCTCATTCCAACTGTGCGTTCGGCACCTCACACCAGCCGTGCTCGAGTCAGAATAAGATAATCGAGTCGAGGATATCTACTCTGCCAGCGCGCTCGACCCGAAACTTCTGTCACAGAATCTCGGCGAGCGTGAAATATTCGACCCTTCACTCATTCTTCGCTGTCCGGTTGGGAAGTTCAGTTCTATCTAGGCCAGCCTTCCGAGCGCTTTGTAATCGCTCGCGCACATTTTCATCACCACAACAACAGCGATGGCCACGCACAATCTGAATTTCACTGAACATCAACGCATCAGTGGCTCGCTCCTGAATCAGCTGGCCGACAGAGTCGAGCGAAAAAGCGCGCGCGCCTCCAGGGCGCGTCTGCTGCCAGTGATTCCGCTTGGTGTTAGTATGGAGCCGGGCGCTGCGCCACGCTCGGACCAGACCGAGTGGCGTGTACAGGATTCAGTCCACAAAGCTGGCGCAAGATCGAATCCCAGAACATCCAGCTCTGGACTGCTTCAAGGCATCCAGTCCAGAAATATCCCTGACATGCGTGCCTTGCTCTCAGAATCGGCCACATTCTCGATTAGAGCTCGATATGAATGTCTAGCCCGAGCCGGAGATCTTCGAGTTTAGAGATTCGAGCTGATGATATTCAAGTGCTCAATTCTACGAGCTCCCGACAATCCAACTTAAGAATGTTTTATCGTGTCGACGATCCGACTCGGATTCCAGCATTCGACTCAGGGTGAAATCTCGATCGCTCTGCTACTGGATCGGTTCTCAGCTCGAAAGGAGCCTGTGCCGAGTCCAGCTCAGCGTCTCCTCTCAGTTTGTCAGACCCTCGGGGATGAAGAATTTCCGTCCCCGATTCGTCGTTTCGGGTTCCGAGCTTGTTTCCCCCGATGGATAACGGGATTAATGTGATCGCATCGCGAACGAAGAGTACTTCTATGACGAGGGGGCGCACCTCAAGAATGGCTGATGGCGGACCGACCCAAACTTGCGTGGCATCGTCGTCGATCTTCGCGAAAATTATTCCGTCCGACCAGGGAGAAAAGGGAGTTGATAGGAACGCTTGGGTTCATAGTGAACGAGACACCAGACCCAGGAGGACAGTATCGCCCGAATCAGGGTTATGGCCCGAAATCTCAGACATAGTGGTCGCTACGGGAACTCACGGGATTGGGAGCCGCGGCACGGCCCGGAGGCTTCGAGAAATATCGGGACGCGCCTCGAAGAATGTGACCCGCAGTCCATTCCTTCAGGTCGCGCCCCAGAGGTGTCCGATCCATGGTCTGGGGCTTATGCATGGGGTCGGATCGACAAGTGAAGGAATTTAGGCTAAGCTCGATCGTGGTAATACAGGCATCCGTTTCCAGTGGCGAATGCGAATCATATATGAGGGTAATTCATGAAAGGGAAAAGGATGACTGCCCTGTATCACCCGGATTCGTCGGGGCCTCTGGTTTCGGCAATCAGAAGAACTCAGTCTCGGGGCCTACGGACCGAGGGACTGAGTACCATGAAGAAGCGGGGGCAGCAACAAATTTCTCAGTCGTCATGCTTGTCATCGTCATCTTGCTAATAGTAGTAGCGGGAAGGAGCGTGTGGGCGCGGCGGAGTTTTTCGTCGCAAACTCGAACCCGCGGAGATGCCTGCCGTCACGAAAACACTAGATACGCTGATTAGCTTGACGACCGAGCGAATAACGGAACGACGCAGTGGTTGGCAGCTGTCGTTCTTGTCGCTGATACTTTCTAATGGAGGCCAGCTCTGACTGCTCACTCCAGTCGCTCGCGGTCTCTTTGCGGAAGTGCGATTTTCCGCCTTTGGTGGGCTCCAACCCAGCCACCGCAGACTTGTCGCATCGTGGGTTCGGCTACTTCCGCGCCGCAGCCTAATGGCCGATCTAGCGAGTGATAGAAGAGCTTCGCTGGTACAGATGCATGTCGAAAGGCGCTCTTCGCTGTGAGTCATCATGGCGGGTCATTCCATGCATGTACACAGGGCGTGGGATCTCAGAAAACTTCAGTCTGTCTCCTTTTCTGAGCAGTCTCCTCGGCCTCGGAGCCGGGGCAACATCCGTCCGGATATATCCCGCAAATGAGCAACGTCTGCCGTGAGAATCGATTGTCCTGGCTCATGCGGGAAATTGGGCGGACCTCTCATGGCACGCTGTCGGTAGATCCGAACCCTCCTGCCCTCTGACCGAGAAAGGGAACTGCAGAGCCTGCGTTGTTCCTCGGCTGGAGAATTACTCATCCGATGAAGTTCCGCCCCGACTCTTCTTCGATAGTTCCGAAGCTCGTCCTTGTGGGCTTGGCATGCCGAGAGGAGACGAAAAGAATCTAGATACTCGGAGCCTGAAGTTCCCTACGCTCGACGCCATGCAGCACTTGGCATTTCGAAGGCTCGTTTAACTCTGTACTCGGAACGGATCGCAGCCGGTAACCCATCCTCCTGTTTGCGGTACGACTCTGCGCGGAGTTTGCGCCCTCTGGCTTGATGGGTTGCGAGATCATGGGCAGAGAATGGAGTGCCTTGGTCGCTCATTTCTGAATCATGTATTCGCCTGACGAGAGCCGCTGATCAGTTCTATCAGCACAGAGAGAATCGTAAATCCCGACAAGTTATGGAGATGCAGGAAGAGCTCCACTGTGAGCAGAGGAAACCGTGATAAGTCTCTTTCCATCGAGAGAAAATCGGCTCACACGAAGCCCCGTACCAACAGCGCCGCAGGCCAAGCTGAGGAGCCAGGCACCGGATAAGCTTAGCGATGACCTATGACCAATGCATGGATTGAGCGAGCGCATGGCGATCAGAATTTTTCTCTTCCAGAACGTTCGAGCTAGAGCCGATGCTTGGTCGGGGGCATCCGTTAGAAAGCATTCGAGTGCAAGTCAGAATCATAGATCTTTCAACCGCTCTCCATGAGTGTCTCGCAACTAATAAGATGTCTCAACGGCGTGCTTGGAATGGATCCCTCCAACTCCCGAAGTCGAGGAAATCTCCGAGGAACTTCAGGGAAGCGCGGTGAGGGTCAACTACTCAGATGGCAGACGGGAGCGGCAACTTCCAAATACAATACGAAAACAACACTGCAATCGGAATCGGACTCCTTGTAGAACGAGGCGTAGATCAAAGGACCGGGCCTAGAGAACTTGTACGGAGCAGGGAAGAGCTCTGGATTGACAGCTTTGCTCCGCTCGAGACATTCGCCCTCTAGTAGACTCTCCTAGCCTACCTCTGGTTCCTAAATTTCCTGCTGATTCTTTGAAGAATCACGTTCCCCTAGAGAATTCCTGCAAGCCGCCGGGAGACTTCTTTCCGGAGTTCAGATGGAATGTTACTATGAGATATTGCAAACTTCCTTCGGAGAAGGGGACATGGAATGCTCGCATTGTACACATCGAGCGATAATCCGCGACCCCTTGGAGAGTTTCGAATCGCCGCCTTGAGAGGAAAGCAAGGCCCGGAATGGAATCGGACACTGTTTCCCCGCAGAGACAGCTCGAACGAACTGAAGCCAGGGCAGTCTCTCAGGAAATCTAAGGGAGCGACGGCAGGGAGTTCCAAAGAATTTCACGACCTCCTGGAGAAGTTCGAGTTCCTCATTCGCTGAAGAACTGCAGCCGTGTGAAGCTAAACATTAGGTGGAAATTGACGGGTTCTCACGCTTACAATTTTTTCCGCGGGCTGCTCCTCAGACGGATGCCTGAAGTTTTTAGCGCGGACATTTATTCAGTATGAAGATGATTGTTGGAGGCTCCTCCGACCCTTTCAGTAATTAACGGCATGTTCGCATGAACGGATTTTGGCTCACCAGCACCCAAAAGTTCGTTCTTTTCCCCCAACCCAACACATTTCTCCGGATCGAGGGATTCTATCGCGAATATTATCAATTGGTGCTCCTCCTTCGAGCCGCTCACCACGCGGTCTTCGCTTCGCGAGTCAAGCTCGAGGTGAATTATGCTCAGACAGGACGCTCGCGGTTCCGCAGTCCCGCAGCTGGACGATGTTTTACTTTATAAATTTTGACTGACTGAAGACGCCTCCTGCACGCTTATCGATTGGAGAGCAGTGCTTGCCCCGGTTGACGCTACCGCGCGGATCCGCTTGAGCCGCGATCCTGCCTCCCGTCTCTGCTCTAGCGGGGATGTGGGACTCGGACAAAGGAGATTATCCGCTCGCTCGGCTTCCTTGTAGGCGAGAAATCGAGTTCGAATCTGATGGCGCTGCTGGGCTGCTTACGTAACAGTATAGCGAAGGAAATCCAGAATTCGCTCCTACAAATAGTGGGGCGACTCCCAGGACCACATGCCGTATGTGAGCTCGTTCAGGGGGCTCAGAATGCTCAAAAAGAGCGACCCAGCATAAATTACAGTTTCGAGAGGCGAGAAACTCCTCTGCTCCTTGAGCACTCTCGGAACAAGGAGATTCCATCGCCCTCATCGGAAAGGCTGTCCATCATCATATTTCCTGTGGCATTCTGGCTTTGCACTATCGTCTGTCATGGTCACTTCGCATCGACCCACCGCGAAGTGGACGATGACACCAAAACTCTGGACTCGGTGTTCGGTTCAATTTCGGAATCTCGGGGAGAACTTCCACGTTCCGGCCGAGGGAGCGGCGTGGCGGACAAATCTGAAATACGATTAGCTCGAAAGCCGACGCTCCGCATGCAGACGCCTAATTGCTAGAAGCGAGGGTTAAGTGCGCGGCCCTTAAGCTCTTTACAACCCTCTCGCCCATTCTCCATGCAGCGGTCTAGGAACTCTCTGCGCCACGAGCCGTGCGTATCGAGTGGGTTTTAGGCTAAAGAAAAGATTCTTGCTCCACCCAAACTTTGGTCGTGGCTCGCTCGGTGCTACGGAAACACCTATCCCTCTGTTGGCCGAGGATTCCCGATTCATTTTGCGTGGCGACAGCTTAGCAAATTCGCCTCCCGCGGGTCTCCCTAAATCTCACCGCGAGTTTGTTCATGCGGGGTTTAAGTTTAAAGAAAGTTCGAGCTCCGCGGCTTGGTTCGGGATTTCGGTTGCCTCTCTTATTTTACAGAAGATAAGCGCGGCTGCCTCGTGATTGCTCCGTCCAAACTTCTTCAAAAAAGAACCCCAGGAGAGCGGGAACTGGAGGGTCAACCCCTCTTCCCCCGCCGACAGAAATTTTCGGCTTCGTACTCCCCCGTATAGATTCTGGCTTCAGTCAGACCTTTTTTGTCAATCACTTATCGGAGAGGGATCCAAATTCAATCTCGTTCGATTGACGGAATGAGTCTTTTCTTGAGGGAAGGCACCATGAATCGCAGAATCAAGTGTCTTCTCTTTCTTCGATCAGTTGGATTCAGAGTACAGCGAGACAGGAATTATCCAATAGGGGTTTTGAAGGGAACTTTCCGAAAAAAGAAACCTGCGAACGCGTCTTGTGATCGCTTGTATCATATGCATATGAGCTCGCCAGGATGCACTGCTCCGTGAATTTCCAAAGACTCGACGAATCGAGTAAATGGATCAGCTCTTCTGTTTCCTCCCTTGTTCGCAAGTCGAGAACGACTTGCGGTGTTACAAGTTCCGCCAGGGAGGGGAGTCCGGCCGACGCTAGTGAGAGAGGGCAGCAACGAGCTTTACAATCATCGCATACAACGGCGGCTGTCACCGGAGCGGTGGTGCGAACCCGAGTCAGGAAACGACAAAAGGAAGGGGGAACAGGATGGATATTCAGTGAGGAGACGTTCCCGACTTGGAACGATTCCCGGAGCTGTACAAAAGCTTCGGATCATTTTTGTTCGTCGCAATCGAAGCTTGCTCTCAGATTCCTTATTTCCCGAGTGAACTCGTTCGAACTTTCCGCTCGATTCGAGCGGGACCAGCGCTCCTCTGGATCACAGGCGGTTTCTTGTAAGGAAGGAGCAATACTAAAGCTTTGGCAAATCTTAGAGAGCACCTTTTCGGCTCGGCCAAACGATCAATCACAAATTATTTATTCGTCGTGAAAGTCTCACTCGCGGTGTTCCTCTTCCCGCCCGACTGTGTGCTACAGGGTGGTTCGCTGCTGATGGACGCGCTTTGAACCCGAAGAACGATCCATCCCGCGAGCTTGGGACGTCTCTCGCGGATCATTCCGATACTTCAGATGAGAATGCCCAGGACCTGCTCGTAGGCCCCATCAAATTTCGGAATGGGCGTGATTTTCACGACGAGATTAGATGTTCGATGAGCCCGAGTCGCTCACATCAGGCTCGAACGTTCCCGATCACAAGTCTCGTCGCGTAAGAATTGCGAGTTTCCATCAATGTTTGATCAGATGCTATGTATCCGTATCGTTTTGCTCGGGACAGCATACAATCCTCCGAAATCCGTCTCGAATTCTCTACGTAAACGGTTTTCCTGACAATATTTCCAAATTGCAAGTATGATGGGGGACAGCCAATGGGAAAGGAGCGGATCCGTCCTCAGCGGGCGGAAGTTCGCTTTCACGAGTCCGCAGAGTGTCGTACTCAATGAAGAATCCGATTTGAGCGGGGATTCTTGGCGCGGCGCATCTCCGAGGCCTGCATGAGAGGAATGAGAATAACCATGCATTTGGTTGTCGCTCATATCTGATCGACATCAAAATAATAACCTAGTATAAGGGGCTCCGGTTTTTCCCAGAAAGGTGGAGAAAGCTCCATTACAAGCACCATATATAGAACGAATATGCTGGAAAATGATCCTCACAGCAGACGTCCGCTGCCATGACGGATAATCGCAGACGTTTCCCGCGAGGAGCCGCTGCTGCGATGAAGAACGTCTCGCCTTGTAGGATTTGCTTGCCCGCTCAGAGAGTTGCGGGGTATATGATTATTCCTAAATATGTTCGTTCCTGATGCTGAAGCATAGGGTTGCTCTATGGATTCTCACTTCTCAGGCCCATAGAGACTCTATCCCAGCCTCCGCCCCCCTCCCGGCTTCTCCCTACCGGGGAGAATTCCTCCCGTTCCGGCGAGGATTCCCCCCGTTCTGCACATACAGAGCAGAGGCTCATCTCCCGGAACGCTGAGAACGCGTGCGGAGGCAGGTAGAACGAAAATCTGTTTCCTATCGAGCATTTATTGTTAGCCATTCTTGCGCCCTGAGCCTCCGCATCTGCTCTCAACGACAGTTGATCTCCGCATAATCCACGGGATTCGTCCGAAAATCGATATAATGATGTGCCGCATAAAGTATCAGAGAGAGAAAATGAATTTGAAGTTTCACCCTCATCATCAGCGGGAAGGGTAGCCTCGGCAAGGGCCCACGCGAGAGTGGAGAGAACATCACTGAAGCCGCGTAATCGAGCACGTTGGAGTCCACGTTGAGAGCGAGAAGCGGATACACAGAGGATCCAGACCATCGCTGCCTCGATTTCATGGTTCCGATCGACAGAGCTCACCATACCGTCATGTGCATGGCAACGCGCTGATTCGGCCAGAGTCCAACCGCCGTGGCTCTGTCATCGGAGAGCAAAAAATCGCTCACAAATTATTTATTCCTCAATTTACGTATCCGTGTCAGGAAGAGCGCTCCGGTATCGCGAGTTCGTTTCTCCAAAGCTTAAGAAATGAGGAACTCCGTACTGCTCGAAATCTCCGCGGTGTTGTGCTTTGTCTACGTCGGATGCAATCAGGCTCAGTTCGTGACTCTGAACTCTGGCGAGTACGATAATGACGGACTCTCGCCCCACCTCTCCACGCAACAGTCAACGCAGAGACGTTTCGTTGCCGGCTGCAACCGTCAACCGAGTGGTGTCGTATCTGAGAAAACGGCCGGCAACGGAGGCTTCGCGATAAGGTTCAGTGGTAATCCTAAAAAATATGTGCCCCGCGAAGGATACACCGGTGAGTCTTGCAGACTTTCTTTAGGTACTGAATTCCGTGAGAGTCACGGGAACGGATTCGGTGGGCAGCGATCCGAATTCGCATCCCCCGATGATGTGTCAGGTGTCTGACGACTCGCAGCAAGAGCGTCCTAGCATCGTCGAAATTCGAATCAATTTCCCTCACAGCTCCCCACGGAATCCCCTCCGTTAATATGACAGCAATGTAACCCTTCCTTTTATTCAGTGCAGAGATTTCTCGGGGTTCGATCAATGCACCCGAGCCTCATTCTCGACCCGCTGTATTGGATCCTATAATCTGATTTTTGACATCTCGAGTGAAGATTTCCGGCCGTGTATCGAAATCGAAACCATGAAGCGGTATTCTTACACAATGGACTCGAGAATGTGAAGCTCCGAGACGGGGAGATAAGCCAGACGAGCAACAAGAATTACGAGTGGGGAGTAGCAGACTTATTTCTACTCCGAGTGAGTCGATAAGATAGATGTTTCCCGTTTCCTGCGATCGAATGGGCGAGCTGGAGGTTCGCGGACTGCAAACGGTACCCACAAGAATGATCGGTCTAAACACTTCTTCGCTCCGTATCTACGCAGCCGTCCTTGTCGATTGGGCGGGAATCATTCAAATGATACGAATCAGTTCACACTTCTTTGGGCATCCTTCCTGGTAGACATCCTTCGAGGAACAGAAGCGGGATGGGCCGAAGCACGAAGTAGAGTTGAGTCCATGAAAGGATTGCGGGAAGGCCTGCAGGAGGCGGCAAGTTCTCCACATATGCGAAGAATCGAACCAGCTGAGCCCAGCTGATCCGCTCTCCGCAGCGAGAATTCCACTCAGCTCCGAGATCTAGCCCGAATCGATTCATTCGGCACTATGATTTTGTTGCCATCGGATCTCACCGACATTCCTCGCGGAACTTATCCTCGAATCATAGAAACCCCCTCGAGCCTCCCGCATCAATGAGGACTCGACTCTTTCCATCGGACTCTTTCATTCGGAGCTCATATGCTAACCGATCGAAATGTGTTTATTGCTCTCTCGAAAATGAGAGCATGCGGCTCGAGGAATCGACTGAGGAAATTCGGACGTGGAGCTCAATCCTGGTAAGAAGGAGATGAGGTGCTCTCTATCACGCAGTCGCAAGGCGTGTATGTTTTAGTTCCGGAGTAGGACTTGCCCGAGAGAAGAGATCAAGAAGCTACTGGATGGAGGATTCTGCGGAGGCGAGCTAGACCCCGCAGTTGGCCAATCTCCGTGTTGAGAATGTTCAGCAATGTCCATTCCTGCCAAAGTTTGGAGCGATGATGAGGGTATGCCACTTGCTGCATTGGATTGAAGAGATAGTTCTAATATACCTTAAATTCCGAGAATCTCATACGAAACTCAGCTAAGAGGGGGGAGATCATTTTCTGATCTAGAGTATCCGAAGCGTGAGCATACTGGGCCCCATGGGAGAACTCTCGAGACGCTAGGATCCGGCCACGTCTGATTTTTCCATGCTACTTGCATTCGAATCGATGATGTGCGATCCACAAGCATGAATTGTGCTCCTTGTTGCGAATATGTAGGTATTCGTCGATACTGTAAGCTGAGCTTGTCGCTCCGCTTCAAACGCTGCCGAGCCAGCGAATCGAGTCGGACTCGTGGGAAGAGGTTCAAGAGGAGACCGGCCGTGAGGAAAGCAGGAAGGACTATCATGATCGGTTGGAGACCGAGAATGACCCACAAGGATATCTCTCGCTACGATGAGGCATTAGGGGATATTGATCCTGAGGACGGAGAAATTGACTAGCAAACTCTGCGCGGAGCCCAAGGACGGGGAATATACATCGACACGAATATCCCGCCATGGATGAGTTCCCCGAGGTTGGCAAGTGTTAACACGAACCGCTGAGAGTCGATTCCACGGACCTTATTTCGAAGTGTTGTTCCGCTCATCGCATCCTCGAGCGTGGTCTGTTGATCTCATGCAAGGCATGGAGTGTTTTGCAGTGACATGCCATTGTATATTCGCGCATGAAGAGAATTCTCCCGACGGCTAGGCTCGGAGCGCTGACTGCTGGAGGCTCGATACCTCGATAAACTCCACGCCGTAGATGTTGGAGAAGCTTCTCAGGATAAGTAGGTTACGCAAAGCGGCGCCTTTTGAGGGAAGCGAGGCGCCGGAGAGAAAGGCAGAGTTTTTCCATCAAAATGCGGATAGTACAGACGCATCGACCCCGCTCGCTCCGATACTCACGAATTCTTCGAGCGAGTCCAAGTTCAACACATGATCGCCACTCTGTAAGTTCGGTAAGTCAGCGCCTTTGCGCTCTGCCAGAAGAGACATCATGCTCGACCCAAGGCGACTTCTTGAGACGCTCCAGCATTCATTTTCGCTCGATCACCGGCAGAATCGGGAAGCACCTTCGAGATGGCTCCACGGCGGACGCTGATCATATCGGAATGAGCATGTCGTCTGCTTACTTTCGGCTCATACACGCCTGTACTTCACAGAGGCATACCTCATGGGCTAGGTTCTCAGAGGTGTTCAGCTCGCCGGGACTCATAGCCTTTCTCGGTCGCTGCGAAGATCAGCGTCGAAACTCGGAGCACACTCAGAGAATTTTCTGATGTGGCCCTATTCCTTGATGCGAAATTCCTCGCAATCGAAATCGTGGGCCCTCGGACCGAACTTCCCACCTGCGGCGCTTGATCCCGGACCAGCCCAAGCCACCGCAGCTGATGTATCTGCCGTAGGAATTCCTTCCATGCTCTATAACGAGCTCTCCAGCAATTATCGCAAGACTCGGAAAGACCGACGGGAAGTCCAATTTGCGAAATTAGAAAAATTCAAAACCGACCATGGCGATGCGCCCGCCGTATCGCTAGAGAACGTTCGCTCGTGCGGAAATGGCTCCGTCGTACACCCCCGCCTGAACCCCGTCTCTCCTCATTCGACAGGCGATTCCGTCATCGTTGTTGTTGTTGTTGTCGGCCTTGCCGAGAACGTCATTCGGTTCGGCGTGGAATTTCTGTGACACAAGATGAAATAACGAAAATCAATCCTCCACATCTCTGTGAGCTATAACGAACCCACCTAGAGAATCTACGATATGTTGCGTGGATCTGCGGGGCTCGCCGTCAGCACGGTTGTAATGATTATTCCAATGCCACGGGGCAGGCCTAACTCCCGGGCAGGAGAACTCGCGTCCCAAGTTATTGCTCACATCGAACATCCGAGCAGCAACTCCTTCCGCGGCGTAATTTGGAAGGATATAGAGAACTTCATCGGAAGTTCTACGAGCGTAAGTTTCGGGAGAAGGTCCTCCGATGGGTTCGGAGACCTTCAGAGGGGATAGGCTCTCGTCCCGCATTCCCAGACTCGTGACGAGGTGGAGGAATGGTTGGCAGAGTCCACATGGGACTTGAATGAGAGCTTCAGGCAAGCGAGGATTTATTGAACCGTCTGATTTCCTTTGCTCCATCTTCTTCATCGTTCTCCGGTAGGCTCTTTCAATCGTCTCATCAAGGAGAAGCGAGCGAAAAGCTGAGATTAAGGAATTCTCTTCTTGAGGTCGCGTTATATCTAGTTTCACTATTCGTATTCTTACGAACGCCTTCCTCGCACCACCATCTGACTCTCTCTTTCACTCTCCGAATTTCATTATATCTTGCTTTTCTTGACTCCAAGCTTCTTCCCCGAGCTAAGAAGGTCCTATTCCTCGCTTTCGCTAGCAGCCCTCTTCTCGTTTCGTCCCGTTCAAGTTCTGACCCGTCTTGGCGGGGCAGACGGCTACACGGGCGTACCGCCGCCGTCGCCAACGAAAGTTCTACGGTGCTCGTCAAATTGGAAAGCCACCCGGGAGACGGAAAAAGCGAAGGAGGACCTACTTTCCCTGTTGGGGGCAGGGGGGTGGAGGGGGGAGAGAAAGCGATCGGTAGCGTCTCTTTTCATCTTGCTGCTGCAGACGCCGTCACTTCGAGCGCAACCACCGAAGCTGACGTTGTCGAGGTTTCGGTGTCGTTCCCCGTCACTCCCCAAAGCCACTGCTCGCTTGTGTTTGTACACAAATCTAGTCCGAGAGCTTATTCATACCCTCGACAATAGACGGAGTAGATTGATTCGGGGTGGAATTCGTGGAATGTTTTGATTTCAGAAGAATCTTCGCCTCCAGTGCTGCTGCTGCTGCTGCAGGCTAACCCGAAGCTGAACGAAGGCGCAGAAAGGCCGAGGGTCTGGATGTGCTCCATCTATAGCTTAGCGACCGACCGACCGACCGACCGACCGACCGACCGACCGTTCGGCCCATCCTCCGGCTGGTCGGCCTTTCGGCCAACGCTCTTCACGCCTTCCAGCATAATAGATGTGAGAAAATTTCGCGATGGCATCGGGAGCTGTCGAGAGGATTGCGATTCTCAATATACGTAGGTCGTACCTCAGCGTGTCCCTCGGAGCTCACGTCCAGTATCTCCTTCGAGTAGAACGCGCGCCAACTGGTGAGACTTCGTGGATCTTGTTCGACCACGTTTCTCCGCGAGATGAGGCTCCCGCCCCCTCGGGGAAAATCTTGAAAAGACGCTTAGCAAACTTATTGGCGTAGCCCTTACAAGGTCGCATGACCGAGTGCAGCATGAGCTCGATGCTCGGCTGTTGGCAGCGGACGCGCAGCCAGAGACTCCCTGTCGACAAATCGCCCGCCTCTCTGCGGGCCGGTCTCTCCTGTGAGGCATCGACTGGGGGGTAGACGGGAAACGTCCAGAGAAAACTGTTCTCTCTGAGCTCGTGATATGTTCGGGAGAGCTTCACGCGGAGCTCTCCTTGGCACAAAGCCCAGTCCGGGGCGTTCCGTGCCCGGTGTCGATATTGGCGGCGAGTGTCGGTGGATCATCGATGACAATCGGGTGCCGAGACAAAAGGAATTTCAAGGAGATAATATTTAGCGAGGAAGACAAGGCAGAGAGGAGAGAGCGAACGTCGAGGCGGTGGAGGGGCGGGGACTTCTTGTGTCGTCGACATC